TTTCCAGGGGCGGAGCGACGTGGTGGCCAGAGGTGGCCAGCGCCCATCTTGGGGAAAATGTTACTGGGGGCGTTGCAGCTTGGCCACATCATTAGGTACGCCAGCAATATCTGTTCCATTTTGTTTTCATCTGCCGCTGTTGTGATTCTATTTTTATTTTTTATTTTTTTACCTACCTTCCATGTGTTTGGGCAATAGTACGGACCAGAAGATTGTAGACTGCTGTAGGCGCCGTTGTAGGGACAGCGAGCCCGGAAGCCACAGCTGGGGCCGCTGGGCCATGCGGCGCAGAACTGCAGCAAGCTACGTGGCTGCGCTCCAGAGTTCCACAAACCCTGTCGGGCATCTGCTGCTTGTCTGATCATCTGCTGCTCGTCTGGGCCCGATGGGAACATCTCTGAAAATGGACATTGGAAGAAATGTAACACAATCCCTTGATTGTCTTTTCATAAAACCCAAAATGATGGCGAGCCTTATGGTTACTGGGACATGTTAGCGGCTAATACGCTAATTGTCCGCAAATACATATTAGGCATCGTTCCGCTAGTTTTGTCGTCCCCTTCGATCAACTCAGCCTGTATCAATGGAAAGGCAAAATTGGGGGCCCAGGTAAAGGTGAGCCAAGACGAGGTCAATTGGCAACGCGTAAGAGCTGCAAACCTTTCATCCGTCGCTGACATTGCAAAGCTCCCAGGGCCTTGCGTGCGTGTGTGAAAACGTGCGGGATAATGCGGACCTTTCTGCAACCTCGCCGCATTCCGTAACGCCGTCCGCGTCGCAACAACGGCGACGCTTGTGCGGGGGGGTTGAGGCGCCGTCTTTGTCTGGCCTTTGTGAGTGAGCCTCACTGTTTGCCCGTGAGCAAGGCATCATTCTAACGACTGGCTCACCAAGAGTTTTTTTGGTCTTTCTTGCACATTTTGATTCAATCTGTCGAGTTATGGTACCATTGTTTGGCTTTCTCAAAAGTGAATCTCCATTTTTGTTTTTAATGCTTGTGGGCCGTTTCTGTCAGCGGGGGCAAAAAGCTTGTTTTGGTGTCGTTTTTTTCGCCAGTCAATCAGATCCATTTTGGGACTTCAAAGAGCCATCCCGGGAAGAGGCTGCAGACCGTGCGTGAGCATTCGCTTTGGCTCTGTGTTCGTCAAAAGTGCGCGCCACCGCTGAGAAGAGGTTAGCGCACTCCGGCTTTGAAGCGGTGCCTCCGAGCAGACAATGTTGACATTCTCCCCTCGCATGGCTTTGCTCCGGAACGCCCCGTCAACACACCCCTGTCTCAGACTGCCGTCGAGCCAATCAAAACCTCCGTAGCTTTATGTGCCGTTTTTATACGCGCACGTGGGCAAAATATTTGGTGCGCCTCTGTTCGTGAAAGAAAATCAACCAATGAAAATTCGACATTGCTTTTGAATTCCGGTTATTATTTGTAAAGGCAAACACCCAAAGCGTGGGCTGCGCTTCACCTTTAAAGTCGTTCTCCTTGATTCATTTTGGCACATACTCTTATCAAGTCTTTGTTTTGTGAAAATGGACACAAGTAATTGTGCTGAATCATCCTGATGATGTTTCCTCACGCCTCCTCCTCTTTTTTATGTGCGTGTGTATGTGTGTGTGTGTGTGTGTGTGTCCAGGCTGCCTTTAGAACGCGCACCCCCTGCATTGGAGAAGTTCCCTCACCATGTTGTCAATCCAATCAGCTGACTCAATATGAGGAAGTGGCACAGCATGAGGAACTTTTGCAAAGGAAGATTTTTCCTGCAGTGTCATCCTGACCCTCCCGCGACTGAATGACGAGCAAACGCAAACGAGCGGCCGTGCCGAGATGGAGTCATTTGAAGTTCTCGGCCGTCGGAGGGATATCCATGAACCAAACATTGAAACGTGACGCCGTAAGTCATCGTCGTAGACAAGCGTCTCCAATTTTATGAAGAGAATTTTTCCCGCCCGAATAATCTTTACAATTTCACATCCTGTCAGGCATGTTTTGATGCTGCACTTTTTTTTTCTAATTCGCCTGAATGCACTTCCTGTCCAACAGGATATCGCTCCTTGTAAATGTAGTCAATCTACTTGTTGCGTAGGTGCAATATTCCAGGCTAAGTAGGAAAGCTACTGCAAGGCATTTCAAAGGTTTGATACACATACGGGCACGTAACGCAATGTTAGCATTATTTCAGTTATGAAGTAAAAAAAAAAAAGACTTACCTGTAGCTTGGCTGGATGCTCTGCTCCTTCGCTCTTTCTCGATGAGCTACTGTTTACGTTTGGTGATTCCTAGAAGTACGGGCAAGTGAAAGGGCCCAGGCATTTAAAGCAATGCGCGTTTCCTCTTTTTGTTGGGCATCTTTTTGGTGCTGGGCGCAAAGAGGAGCGATTGCATCAGCTGACCCATATTCCAGACCGAATCGCTTTCATTCTCGCAAGTCATGATGGGCGCGTCATGGACTGGCTGCAAACGGCACGCACATTTATTCACATGAACGTCTCGCTGACACTTGGCAGATTACGATTCATACACAGTGTCGGTGCGCAACAAAAGTGCGTACGCCCCTCGGTGAAACGCTCCACGCGGGCCCAATTAGCCAAGCAGCCCGTACTTGCCAGAAATTCCTGCAGCACCTTCAGGGATGCTATTGGCCTCCCTGACCTGCTCAAATGATTTGAGTTGGACAGGTTATAGGGAACATTAATGGTGAAAAAAAAAGTCTTTTTTTTTTTTTTTTTTTACATCACAAAAACCTGCCATTTGAATCGGGGTGGTGTCGAATTTTTGTATCCATCATATGTTGAGGTGATAATTTCCCACCATCCCTGGTATTATTATTATTGTTATTATTATTGCTTTCCATTGTCAAACTCAAACGCAATGCGACGCTACTTAGGAGCCTGACAAGAGGGGGCGCTTGAAGCTGAAAATAAAGACTTGACTTTCAAATTTGGCGCTGATTACGGCTGCTCAGCTCATGTTTTTTGGGGGGATTCTTCTGGGCACTGTAATCTGCATAATGACCACGATGATGTTTGTTCACACTCCAGTTAAGGTTGATGAGGGTACAAAATGGAGAAGGCCGAATGGATACTTGGCGCCCGATACATCAAAAAAAAAAAAAAAAAAAAAAAAGCAACAGGCAGAGCGTCCGTCGGTCCACATGCAAATTCAAAAGCACTCAATGAGTTGTTTTCCGCCTGAGAGAGACAAGTGCTCACTCAAGACCCAAACTGTGTGTGAAGGGCCTGAAAAAGGATGCCTCGCTTCCAAAAAAATTATATTTATGTAGATAAAATTAACAGACTAAAATAGGAATTACATTGAACATTCTTTTTTTTTTCATCATGCCGTCAGTAAAATTTGACTGAAATAACCTTGCGTGAATTCCCGTCCAAGTGGTGCCATATCAAAAACAGTGAGCAGAAAGCTGCGCAACCCGAGCTGATGAAAACAAAAGCCCCTTTGTGAAGGTCAAAAGCTCTCCGCACATCTTTCATTGTGTTTTGACGACCCCTTGCGTCTGTCACATCACAGTTTGTGTCATTAAGGCTCCTGTCGAAAAGGTGAGGTGACTTCTGTGCAAACTCTTCTAGAGAGCCACTTCGTTTCACACAGCGTGTTCAAATATGTGGCTATCTTACCCCCCCCCCACCCCCTTCTTGTCCTTTTCTTCTAATAGATGCTTGCCCCTGCACAAAACAGTGTCGGTGTGACGTCTTGGTCTTTTTGATGAAGGCACCGTGTGACCACGTTTGATTCTGAGGCCACTTTGACGGTTTGCAGGCTGTCTGAAGTGAGATCAGAGGCGCAAGAGCCGAGAAGCAGACGTCCAGCCGGGCGAGAAGATCAGAGGAGACATTGTGAGGTACACAGCACTACTGGTTCCTGCAACTTTTCCCTTTGTTGTCCCCCCCCCCCCCCCCCCCCCCCCCCCACCGCTTTCCTCCGCAGCTCATAGCTTCTCCTTGTGGCTCAGGCAAAGAACTATGAGGTTTGATCTGATCACTCCTGGGCTGTGGCGACTAAAAACAAAGTCCCCGTAGAGCAGCCCAGTTTTGATGAGGCAACAGTGATAAGACCCGATGATTATGATTCAACCACATCTCAGGATGACTTCAAGTAGTACAAGAAATGGTTTGTTTGATTCGTTCATACCAACAAAGAAAAACGCCTGTACGGCTGGAGACCAGAGTTGTCAAACTCGTTTTCATCACGGACCAGAACAACAATTAGTTCTGGTTTCTCTCAGAGGGCTGTCGTGACTGTAAGACAAAAGCCTAAATGTATAATCACCTCACCGTATTATTACGACTACGCAATTGGACCTGACTGTTATCAGATCTACTGTCGACTTTTAAAAAAGAAACTAATCGAGAGATGATGTTTTACAATTTTTGATATTAACTGCACCCTGGCATTCCCCTTTGTATAATACGCATCCTTTATGACTACTTTCTGCACTAAAACTGTTCTTGGTGAACTGTCGCCCTCTTGTGGCGAAACAAAAATGTCAGAATGTTCAGGCGTGCTAAATCAGCCTCAGATCATCAACATCATTTAGAAATATTTCACATCGTTCGAGTATGTTCTTATTAACAATAATATAATGTAGGAAATCATAGTCCACGTGTGTGCAATGATACTGTGAGTGAAATCGCAGAATCACTGCACTGTTTGCTTTCACGCCTGGGGCAACCTGCAAGGCATCACCAATCAATCGACGATGCCCGCTCGCTGTGCCACACAAAAACCAAACACACTTGGCAGACGGAGCCCACTTGTTGCGCACTCCACCTCAAGTAAAACCTTCGCTCGTCCCGCGGAAGCAATGGCAACATCCGTGAAGCTCATCACCGGTGCAGTCATGCCCATCATCGGGCTGGGGACGTGGAGAGTGAGTGATCCGTTAGGAATATTCTCTTGTATCGAGTGGAAAGTTACTATTTTATTTCTCTGGGTGCAACCGAGGGAGTGACGCACGATCAGGCACAGGCGTGGCAATCTAAAGATATATTTGGACGTTAGGGAGTTGCATAACGCGTCGGAAATGAACTCGATGAGTGACATTCTCATCAAGGGTGGGAATCAAACATTGCGGTACGAAAGCTAACCGTAGCTAACGCTAACCAAGATGCCCCGATTGGAGAGAGCAGTAAAGAGGTGGCACTTGATTCTTTCCGGATTCGCTATATCACGCAACATTTCACACCTTGGGACACTTGCGTGCAGACATGCACGCTTAGAACGCACAGCAAAACGATGCGATTCTCCGTGTAACCTTTGATTCTTGACTATGTATTCGCTTTTAAACGCAAGTTTTGCACGCATGAGTTGTATAGCGAGCGACGGACACAGATTTCGGATGCAAACCTTTTATTTTTTGGTTTTTACTGTGAGGGCAAAATTTTGATCAAATGTGCCTGTGAACTCTACAAGTAGTACACAATTCTCCCCCCACTAAAAAGAGGCTTTGCACCGTTTCGTGCCACCCCCAAAGGAAAGTTCAAACTCTGAGAATTTTGAAAGCATGTAGCTAATCCTTTGCCTTGCAAGATTAATCTGAATGCTAGCACATATTGGAAAACCCTTTCAAAAAAACACATTCTTTTTTTATTTCAAAATAATTATGCCATGAATATATATTTTATAAAATACAATACTCTTTTTCAGACATGCGTGACAAAGTGTTTCAGTGTGGGTTACATTGTTGATTGTAAATGGGGTTTTTTTGTTTTGTTTTGGGGTTTTTTTTTGGACTGCATGTTCAAAGTAACCATTCAATCAGTCATTCTTTCCTAGTCTGCACCTGGAAAGGTGAGCGAGGCGGTGAAAGCAGCGATATCAGCGGGGTACCGCCACATCGACGGAGCTTTCATCTACCAGAACGAGGTGGAGGTGGGCGAGGGAATCCAGGCCATGATCAAGGACGGGGTGGTGAAGCGAGAGGACCTTTTCGTTGTTAGTAAGGTCAGTTGTTGTTTTGTCAAATAAATCTCAGTCCACATTCCCAGTGAAGCACAACGTACCCCATCTTTTGTCCCTTAGCTGTGGTGCACTTTCCATGAAAAGTCCATGGTTCGGCAAGCTTGTGAGAAGACCCTGAGCGATCTCAAACTGGCCTACCTCGACCTCTATCTTGTGCACTGGCCGATGGGATTCAAGGTAAATGCCAAAAGTGTTGTCCACTATTGTTCCGGCTCGGTTTTTAAGATCATCTCTTTGTGATTATATAGGCTGGCGACGATCCATTTCCTTTGGACAGCAAGGACGAAACTATTCCTGATGATTCTGACTACCTGCAGACATGGGAGGTGAGGTAAAAGTTTGCCAAGTAAAAAAACAATGTAATAAAACTATTTGTATGCATGCAGTATGATGATTTGATGAAGGATTGGATTTTAATCAATCCAGTGCGGGTTATGCAACAAAGGTCGAGCATCCGGTCCAGGGCCCTGTGGAGCTCCTCAGGGTACACAAATAGAAGAGGATCATTGAGAGGGGGAAAAAAAAGTAAATGTTTTGTGTTTCAGGGGCTGGAGGAGCTAGTTGATGCCGGTCTGGTCAAAGCCATTGGCGTCTCCAATTTCAACCGGGATCAGATTGAGAGACTCCTCAACAAGCCGGGCCTCAAGTACAAGCCTGCCAATAACCAGGTACACCAACATACACACAATAAAATATGGCAGAGTCATCCGAAAAAATAGTACTGTCCCTCCCAAGAGAGAAAAACAAATTATTTTCTCATTCGCCTGACTTTGACGCAGTTCACCCCTCGGGCTCGGCGAATGAGCTTCGGCTGTTGTTTAGCGTCTCTGCGTTAGCTTGATCTTCCCGTATATTCAATTAAGCGACACCGTTTCCTCCTCTGCCCTGCAGCAGTTGAACAGAAGCAGCCGAAACGGTCAATGTTTTGTGTTCGCTATGTTATTCCAAAAGCAAAGCAAGATTTGAGACGTTTTGCAGTCACAACTCAACCGGGGCACATTGGAAGGGAGCCCCGAAACAGTAGCTATCCATCAACTGCCGCACTGCTTGATGGAAATGGTGACTTGAGTTGTACGTCTGCCCCCGAAGGTGGAGTGCCACCCATTCTTGTGTCAGGAGAAGTTGATCGACTACTGCCAATCTCAGGGCATCGCCGTGACAGCCTACAGTCCCCTCGGCTCCCCCGACAGACCCTGGTAGGTTTGCTTGTCTTCAGAGGTGGATTGTCGCGACGGTTTTCAGAGCGTCGTGCCATGTGACAAAGTCCACCGGGGGAATGTGCATTGCAGGGCCAAACCAGGTGAGCCTTCACTTTTGGAGGATCCCGAGATCAAGGCCATCGCCAAGAAGCACAACAAAACTTCTGCACAGGTGATTCATGAGCTCCTGATTTATGTTTACGCCACAGCTAATTGGGAGAATTTTGTGTCGTCGTCGTGGTGGACGCTTATACAGATTCATTTGTCTTGTGTTTGTTGTAAAAAAATATATACAAATAATCACACATTAAGTTTTGGATGATGATTGGATGATATTTTCCAAGTGGCTCAGCCATCATTTGAACTCCCGATCTAAATTCAGGTCCTGATCCGCTTCCACATCCAGAGGAACGTGATTGTGATTCCCAAATCGGTCACACCTCACCGCATCCAGGAGAACTTCAAGGTAAGGTGGGGGAGAAACGGTTGCGATATTTGCACACGACGTTGCGTTGATGGCTGCGTTTGCAGGTGTTTGACTTCCAACTCAGCGCAGAGGATATGAAGACCATTTTGGGATTCAATCGGAATTGGAGAGTGTGTGGGATGAACTGGTGAGTGTATCCAAATGAATTTCAGCCTTTGTCGCAATAGCGTCTTTTTTTTTTTTTTTTTTTTTAATGTGCGGTTTTACTTTCTTTGGGCCTTATAGGAGCGTGAACCACAAGGACTACCCGTTCCACGCCGAGTTCTGATGTGGAGGAATTGGCAGGCGCGGGTGCTGAGTGTGGCTCCAAGACGGTCCACTTTGATTTCTGTTGAGCACTGCTGGGTACGCTTGCTGCCCTCACAAATATTTACTCCTCTATTCATCGTGAACGTTGGCGAGGGCAACCGAGTTTGAAACGTGTCCATCTGCACCATTCTACATGTTCCTCCTTACATGTGCCGTGCATAGCACTTCCTCTTATTTTCAAGTCATATGTGGCACTTGTGACTGCCGGCGGCGCTGAGTCACGCGTGCTCCTTGCGGTGGCGTTGCTTCATTTCTTTTCACTTTTCTCGTGCGCGCCAAAGCCGCATTCGTATGACCGCCCATATGTTACAATAAAATTGTTACAGCGGTATCGATTGGCTTTTGTCTTATGTGCTTGAACTCTTTCAATGGCGGCCATTTAAACAAAAATGGGGGGGGGGGGAGAGAAAGAGCCTCTTGAGTGGCAGCCAATTTCCAGCATCTGACTGAACGTGTCGAGCAGCTATCTGATAGGCTGGACCTGAAATTGTTTCCGGCCACTTTTTTGTTGGTTATAAAAAAATCATGAAAGTGGGCATGAATGGATTTTTTTTTTTTTAATGTCAAAACGGTTTTCATTTTTTTTTTTCGGGGGTCGTCCAATCTATCCCGTTGGGACAGGAAACATACTGTATTTCAAAATTTTCAAAGTAACTGTTGTCGTGATTTTTGTCCACTAGAGGTCGCACTGGCAACAACTTTTAAATGATTTTTTGAAATGAGCTGTTACTCGGGATTTCATTCCTCATACTGATGCACTTGTGAAGGGCAGAAGATGCCATTGCACTCAATGAGCACCACATGTCGAAATATTTTCAAACACTGGAGATTGCGAAATATCAGTCAAGAGTTGGTTTGTTGGAGCCCTGTGTTTTACTGCTCTGACCCACTTGAGATCAAATTGTCCCAAGTGCACCCATCGAGCTAAAATAAGTTTGACAGCCCTGACTTACATACCGGTAAAACTCCAAAGCACATGCGACATGATTGAGAAGCAGCTGACATGTACATCTTAAAATTGGTGTCTAATAATCATCATGGAAGGGATATTCCGGATGGTCAGCCCACCTATTGAACAACAGGGGGAAAACAAATGTGAATTATTTATTCACGGAAAGAATCTCAATGTCTGGGCATGCACTTTTCCTCACATGAGAAGTTCCACAAAGCGAATATTCTTGTTCAGCCCCTCAATGGCCTTCATGTCCTCTTCGGAAATGCAGAAGTCAAAGATCTGCACAGATGGTGCCGTGCGGGATTCTGTTTCTTGTTTTTAAAATGATACAGCCGAAGGCGTGAAACCAACCTGGAAGTTCTCCCGAACACGAGGTGGGCTGAAGCTCTTTGGAATGACCACGACTCCCCTCTGCACGTTGAACCTGAGGGCAAGCTGAGCTGCGGTCTTGTTGTACTTCTTAGCCAGAGACACGAGAAGTTCATCCTCCAATAGTGGCGGGCAGGTTAAGTTGACCCTGTCGGGAAATGACATTTCTCCATCTCAAACAAAGCCGGTTTTGAACAAAACGGCATTTTCAGAAAGACGTGAATCGATCGGGGGCCGTCCGCGATACCAGGATGCGTCTCTGCAAGTCCCCAACGGGCTGTATCCCACGATGACAATTTCTTTCTGCCGGCAATACTCCAGCAACTTTGGTTGAGTGTAATACGGATGACATTCAACCTGAAAAGATGAATTGCCGGAGTGAGGGTTTTGTTTTGCATTCATCAGCATACAATTAGCATGAGCAGCGCAATTAGTCCGGCGGCATGTTCGCAGTTTTATGTAATTCATTGCATTTGTTTAGTCTAATGAGATCCGACTAATTTGTGCAGTCATGGAACTCGTTGCGCAAGTGTCTTTTTTGTCTTCCTTGTACATATTTGCACCTGATTTGAAACCGGTTTGTGCTTCAGTCCAGGTTTGTTGAGGATCAACTCCAGCTGCCGCTTGTTGAAGTTGGACACCCCGAGAGATTTCGCCAACCCGGCGTCTTTGCACGCTTCCAAAGCCTTTGCCGGGAGTCGGGGAGGGAATAGCCAGTTAAACAGACAAGCAAGCAAAATGCAAATAAAGAAAGGCTACATGAGTTTGAGCAAATATGCAGGATTCGCGCTGGTGCACTTGCCTGTTAATAGTTAATACTCGGCTTAGTAATTACTTTTGCATTTAGATCAAGAGGGTGCACTGTAATTCTCACCTCCCAAGTAGCACAGAGGTCTGTGTCATGATAAATGTACTTCCCCTGCTCATCCTTTGGGTAGAAGTTATCTCCCGGCTGCAGAAAACCACCAATATTCAGAGTTAACAAATCCTGCACCCATGCGTTGTTCTTGTCGCGTCGAACACAAAAGCGTACCTTAAAGGCCGTGGGCAGTTCAATGATGTAGAGGTCGACGTATTCCAGTTGCAAGGTCTTCAAAGTTCTCTCCAGAGCAGGTCGGACCAGTTCAGGCGGATGGAAGGTATTCCAGAGCTGCACAACAATGCAATGTTTACAGACAATATGAATCCATGCGTAGTTGAGTGAGCAGTTCGAAATGCAATCTAATGCATTGCAAACCTTTCCACAGTAGAAAATGTCTTCTCTTTTGACAGTTCCATCAGCTATTTTATCCCTGATGGCTTGCCCCACTTCGTGTTCGTTGAAGTAAACCAAAGCGCCATCAATGTGTCTGTATCCCGTCTCAATAGCCACTTTTACAGCACGGTATGCACTTTCTTTCGGGGTCTGTGGGGGAGAACATTTTTTTTTAAAGTCTGCCCGTAGTAGTGTAATAAGAAGTTATTTCTTAATCATCTCCAGACGTGGCGCAATTTTTCTTACCGTGCGCGGATCTGCGTAAGTACCCAGTCCTATCACAGGCATGCTCATCCCGTCGCAAAGGGGGACAGCGTGACTCTCGGCAGTCCAGTTCATGTTGATCAAATTGTGAATGATTAAATGAGTTTCTTAGCTGCGCACCGTGTGCGCCGAATGCTCCACGCTGCAATATCTGGTATTTACATCTGGCAACGAGTCGTGCTTTCTGCCTGCCCTTTGGTCACAATGGAAAACCCCACCCATGTCCAAAGAGCGACAATGTAAACATGGCAAATGGAACCACAACGGCGTCACGTAACCCATTATTTGACACGAGCCATCCATTTTCGTTTGGAGTGAAATGGAATGATGGAGGTCGTATCGTATGAAATTTGCGATTATAAACGGGGCGCTGTAGCTTTAAGGCGCCGCGGTGCATTCTGGGTCGATCGGCTGTTTTGGTCAAAAGCAACCGTCATTTCTAAAGACATATACTTCTGTAGAACGTACGTCGTTTGAAATTTTGTTTGGACAGCCCATAAATTTCCATTTTAAAACAGCTCTTATCATAAATCCCACGAGTGGCTTAGATTTTCCCACTTGAATGACAAATCAATGAGGAAGCTACGTTGCTAACGATGCTAGCCTCCCAGTCCCGAATCGTTTGCAATCGTTCAGAAATAACCTTGGCGTTCGGGCGTCCTGTGACTGCTATATGACTAATACCGACAATATATGAAAAGTATGACACGTGTTTGCCATGTCCCGAAGTATAACGGCAAAAATTAGGGCGGCCTTTGTTTCCCAGCGTAACGGTACAATCGACTGACTGCCCGGAATAATCAATACGTGTCATTGAAATGGATCCGAGTGTCAAATCTGCTGCCAGCGACGACATTGTCATCATCGTGGAGAACGAGGCAGAGAGTTTGCCCCTTGGGGAAGAGAGGCCGAAGCCACAAGGCGCTTTCGGGCTCATGGACACATGCCCCATCTGTAAGTTGAGCTTTCATAACCGAGAGCCCAAACTGCTCCCTTGCCTTCACTCGTTCTGCAAGCGATGCCTGCCAGCACCGTTCAGGGGAGTCGAACCCAGGAGGGACCACTCCCTCCACCCCCTCGGCCAAGTGGAAAACAACAAGCAATGTGAGTCAAGCTGCAGCACAAATCAACACTATCCATGATGGGTTAACAGTTAACCCATTTATAATATAACTGGTTAACCGTTGACCAGTTGCAAAGTATGTATTTTAAAGTTTAAACCCACTCCCCCGACACCGGTTCCATTGTCAGACTTAAACTTTGGCGCATGATCTCTCCATCCAGTGGGGACCATCCGCTGTCCAGTATGCCGTCAGGAATGCTGGGAAATGGACATGTTGGACAACTTCTTTGTCAAGGATTCGGCCGAGGTGCCGAGTAGCACCATGGAGAAAAACAGCCAGGTTGGGCAGCTGAAGTCACGACGTCGCCTTTCGTGTTGGCTTCGTATTCACATTTCCTCCTCTGTTCTGTCAGGTGTGTATGAGCTGCGACGACAACACGGAGGCAACGGGCTACTGTTTGGAGTGCGTGGAGTTCTTGTGTGTGACCTGTATCGAGGCGCACCAGAGGGTCAAGTTCACCAGGGATCACACGATACGGCAGAAGAAAGAAATGTCTCCAGGTAGGGCGACTCAAGCAGTTTAATATGTTTGTAATTTGTGTGTGTGTGTTTTTTTTTAATCCCCACCCCCATTTGTCATGTGCAGAAGCGGTGGCTGTTTCCTCCCTGAAGCCCGTGTTTTGTGACATCCACAAGCAGGAGCCGCTGAAGCTTTTTTGCGAGACGTGCGATCGTCTCACCTGTCGCGACTGCCAGCTGCTAAAACACAAGGATCACAAGTATGAATATCCTCACCTCAATCAATTAGCGCTTCGTGGCCCTCGCCTTCTGCACATATTAACAAGGAAGAACAACTTGTGATGCACATTTTGCAACTGCGACAAAGCAATCTGTCACACACATGCGTGATCGTTTCATTGAGTTATTTATTTTTTTTGCTTCCGCGTTGTTTGTGTCTAGCTATCAGTTTTTGGAGGATGCGTACAGGAACCACAGACAGTATTTGGAGAACATGACGCAGCAGCTGCAAGAAAAAAGGAAGGCCATTGAGGAGGTCTCCAACTGCATCAGCAATGGGTAAACGTTGATGGACGTCTGATGTTGTGCGTCACTTCAGAACACATCTTGTTCAAATTGTGTTTGCAGACTGCATCAGGTTGAAGAAAACCGAAAGTCTGTCACCAACGAAATAAAGAAAGCCATTTGCAACCTGATTATGGAGATCAACCGGAAGGGAAAAGTCCTTGCCAACCAGCTGGAGGTTGGTTTGAATCCCTCGCGCTCGGGAACCGTTGAGATGAATGACCGGATGTTGTTTCGCCAGACTCTGACGAAAGATCACGAGCTGGGCCTGAAAAAGCAGCAGGATGAAGTCAACTCGCTGCGCCGGCAACTCGACCACGTGATCAGCTTCACCAAGTGGGCCACGGCGAGCCACAGTGGCACCGCACTCCTCTACTGCAAGAGACTGGTGACTCCCGCCTCAGCAGCCCGGAATATCCACCACGTGTCAAATATTCTTATTCATCGCAAATCTCTTGACAGATTCTGTTCCAGATCCACTACCTAATGGGCGCCAGATGCAATCCCTCCATCATCCCTCAGAGTTCTGTCCGCTTCCAGTGTCGCTCCGGCTTCTGGGCCACCAACGTCGACCTTGGTGAGTCGTGGCCTCACCTAAGTAGCTGTGGGGTCGTGATAATAAAAACGTCTACCGGGGGGGATGGGCAATTTGTTTTCTAACCTGGCAACAGGACGAATTGGAATGGCTGTCGAGGGTCACACCAGGCATGCTAGCGCCAATTGTGAAATATATTAATTGACCAAAAAAAAAAAAACTTCCCCCGAAAGCGGTCCCTGCTCCGATAAGAGTTTTTAGTGGTTGACTTGTGGTCTCCAGGTTCTCTGGTGGTTGAAAGAAGCTCTGTACAGGCGTCCATGCCCAACCAAGGAGCAGGAGGTGCCAGAGGAGAGCCGGCGAGCGGGGGGCTCTCGTTATCCGCTCAGCAACGCCAGAGTACGCTGGCCCAGCTGCAAATGCAGGTTGGAGGATTTCCCCATGGCCTCAATGCACTCGGATAATGCGAGCCCATGAAATGTTCGCTCTTTGCTTTGACAAAATCCTCTGTCTCAGGTTGACAAAATTTCCCAGCAGCCCCACAGGCAGGCCGCACCCAACCATTGGTCCTGGTACCAGAATAGCCGGCTCCCCGGGACCCACGGACCCCCCGGTCCCCCGCCTCCGACGCGACCCATCCAGGGAGGCTCCTCCCCATCGCAGGTCCACAGCGGCTTGCCGCAGATGGGACGCCGATACGGGACCGCCGCCCATGGCAACACCAGGAGTCCCAACTCCTCGCTGCTGCAGAACGCCGGGTTCCCATCTCCTCAGGTGAGAGACGAGGACGCAAAACAATTTTGTCTGGAGACGCTTCAAACCGGACCCCTCAGCAGGGTTCCTACGCCGTGATGGAAAAGTTTGCGATTGAAGTATGTCATTTCGAGTTTTCCACCATGCGCCAGCCTTTTGTGAAATACAGCACATTGGTAGTGTGAGAGTAGCAGGAACAAAGATGGAGTCCCTCCGAGACACGCTCAAACCCTCCCTCGCCTGTACCGCAGGGCATGTTTCGCTACCCGCATCCTGTGTCCGCTGGAGGGGCCTCGCAAGTACCGCCCATCCAGGTCGGTCCAATAAGCCCGATGCGCTGCTTATGTCAACCACAATGTATGTGACGTTTTTTTTTTTTTCCTCTCCCTCAGCGGAACCTGGCAGAGCTCTCCTACCTGAAGAGGAGTGAAGCCGGCGGCGCGGTCCCGTCCCTTAGCATCGCTCTTGCGAGAAGCCTAGCGACAACAAATGCTGACAAACTGGGTACACTCACTCCCAGAATGCAGCACACCACGAATGCCACGCTCGGTTCCATCCTCACTCTTGATCCCCCGCCCTTTTTTTTCTCTGTGTGTGTCAAGCTCAAGGAAGGCACAACTCGCCCACGGTCAAACCGTCATCCTCAGATCGAAGCGGAGGGTAAGCAATGAACAGCCACGCTGAAACCGATCCAAATTGGAACGTGGCCTCCGTGTTCCCATGCGGCGCGTGTCCGATTCCAACATGCCGTCTCTTTCTCCGTCACCCTCCCGCCACCTTGACACGGGAAGGCCGCCGGCGTCCTGGAAGCCGAGTAGCGAGCCGTCGTCCGCTCCCGCGGCCAAGCGACGGAGAAGGTCGTCCCCCGGGCCCGTCATCGTCATCAAGGACGAACCGGAGGATGAGGATGAAGTTCGTTTTGTAAGGACCGTTCGCCTTTTGAGCGTTGCCGTATTTCCTCTTAGCGAGCAGCGCGGGGGGGACTCTCATCCTTTGTCTTTAGGTGCAGTCCAACCTTCCTGACAGCAGCACGGGGGCCTGCCCCGCGCTGCAGCTCAAGATCGGCCCGCCTTTCTCCACCCGCCAAATGGACTCGGCGCAGGCGACCAAGCCCCGCCCTCAGCCCGGCGCGCAGCCGCAGTCCGAGAAGAGCGCTGCGGCGGAGGACGACCCCAACGAGGACTGGTGCGCCGTGTGCCAGAATGGAGGCGAGCTGCTGTGCTGCGACAAGTGTCCCAAAGTTTTCCACCTGTCCTGCCACATCCCCTTGCTCAATGAGTCGCCCAGGTGACACACCGCAAATGTCTTGATGGACAGACTGAAAAGTGGCCCTGAGCGCCTTTCGCAGATCCTCCGTCGCCTCTTTCCATCTGTCCCTCCTTTTCCTTCAATCCTTCCGTTCTCCCTTCCTTGCTTCCTTTCTGCCTTGCAGACCTTCCATCGCTCCTCCCTCTCTTCCTACCATTCTCAGTTCCTTGCTTTCTTTCCTCGAACCGCCCATTCTTTCACCCTAGTTACCTTCCTTCCTTCCTTCCTTTTCCCATCCTTCTTTCCTTCCTTTCATACCACCCTCAAATCCTCCCCTTCATCTTTCTTTCCGTTGTCCCTTTCCCCCATCCTTCCCCCCGCTCTTCCCGACTTTCTCGCATCCTTTCCGACTTGAGGCCCTCCGTGCATTTGCGTTTGTCGTCTAATCCTCCTCTCCCTCTCAGTGGCGAGTGGTTCTGCTCCTTCTGCCGAGACCTGGTCTCACCCGAGATGCAGTACGAATGCGACAAGCAGGACACGCAGGCGCCGGAAAGACTGCCACCTGTTGACCAAAGGGTGCACAATTTATTTTCCATTCTTTTTTTTTTTTTTTTGTCGTAGTTGTTTTTAGACTGCTGTTTTTAAGACCGCAGCGGCTTGCTGTCCACTATTTTTTTTCCCCCTCTCTCATTGTTCCTTCTCATTTGCAGGCATGCGAGCGGCTGCTCCTCCTCCTCTTCTGTAACGACTTCAGCGCCCATTTCCAGCACGCCTCCGTAAGATCCCGCCTACAGTGAATAGCGCTGGCGTTTCTCTTTCATGTGTCTTGTTGAAAGAAATAAGATTGTATTTTAAGAATGGAGCAGACACAATTTTGAAGTTCCTACCTAATAATGTCCTGCCTCAAAAGTGGGTCTGTCTGTCTGCCTGCTTCGTGTCATATTAGCAAACAATTATCTGAATATCATAAGGATTTATTAATGACTGAAGGGAATAATTTCACTTGGTTTTGAAATTACAACTTAAAAGGTTCATGGGGCTCTTTTTAAGTAATTGTTTTCTTTTTTTTCTCTCTCTCTCCTGCAGGAGTCCAAAAAATACAAAGAGGTGGTCACAAACCCGGTGGATTTATCCCTCGTAAAGAGGAAGCTGGAGGGGAAGGCGAGCAACGGCAAACGTTACCTTACTCCCGAGGAGTTTGTCGCAGACGTGAGGCTCATATTCATGAACTGTGCCAAGTACTACAAGGTAAATGGATTGTTGAGGGTACAAAACAGAAAATAGACAATTTAGACAAAATAGAAAAATGTTCGCTTCGGAACCACAAAAGTTGATTTCTGTCCAGTGAGTGTTTTGGTGATTGCAGGCGACCACAGAGGTGGGCAGCGCCGGCTTGTACTTAGAGGACTACTTTGAGGAGCAGCTGAGGCAGGTCTACCCCGACAAGATGTTCCCCGGCGAAAGGGAAGAAGGCATGATCCCGCCACTGGAGGACGAGATCGACGACGACGACGACCAGCAGCAGAAAGGGCCGGAGGGGCAGGCGCCGTCGCGGGAAAGCGCCGCCCCCCCGCAGGACGACAAAGCGGCCGGTCCCGCGGAGAACCCGGCCCCACCCGCGGAGGACAACGCGCCCCCACCGGGGGAAGCCGCCGGAGACGAGCGAACAACGAAGGAGCAGGCGACCGACATGAGCGAGGCATCAACCGACGCAAAGGCGGCGACGGAAGACGGAGGAGAGCTTCCGCCCGAGGACAAAGTCAAGCAGGAGGACGAAGCGGCTCCTCCCGCTGAGGTGAAAACATCCGAAGCTGAGGACCAGGCCACGGTCGGCTCCCCGAAAGAGGATCGGACCCCACCGGCTAACGAACAGACTTCTGACGTTACGAAAAGCCAGGAGAGCACAGAGGAAATGGCCCCCAACGAAGAAACGCAGGACAAAGCAGCAGGTGAGACGGATTGCGCCAGTGAGGAAGCGGAGAAAAACGACGGCTGATGGCGTCTTCCCTTTTTTCCAATAGGAACCTTTGAGCACCGCTCTACCGAGCGCACGTTATTTAATACACGCCGGAGTCTCATCGTGGGCTTCTATTTGACTTTCTGCAGGGCGGACATTTTACAATTTTTCTGTCGTCACGACTCAGAAGTCAGTGACCTCCGTCAGTGACTGATTCCCTTTGTTGCGAAGGATAAAAGCAGGCAGTCAACGCAAGATGCATGACGCAGTCCTTTTTCTTTTCTGGCTCACATGACTTTGTTCTTGCGCAATCGGATTTGTTCTTATATCTGTAATGTATTCATGGCTCCATACGCTATGAGCCGCTGTGGCTTCTGTACAGATGCAAGTGTGTCAATTTAAAGAATCCCTTTTCATGGAAAAAAAATAAAAATGAACGCGTTATCTTTTACCCTCGCCGATGAGCTCATCAAGCTATTTATCACACAGCAACCTTGTTTTTTTTTCCCCCCCCTGTCTGTAATCTACGCGAGCGCCACTCACCGCTTTTATTATCAGCTGCCGATAATTCTGAGACGCGAGGATCCCTCTCACCGAACGTCCTTGTACATCACAATTCGCTCTGTGCGGAGCAAAATTGGAGCGAACATAATCTCAACACGTCAGGAAATGTTTCGTTCTTGTTTCGTGTTGGTCAAAAGATAAACATTTGACAAGAAAGCAGCTCATACGGATAAAATGGTCATCAGGACATATTCAAAATACGGTGATTAAAAACGTACTTCAAAATGAATATAAAGACTGTAAAATAGAAGTAGCCTCCTGAAGTACGCTCTGATTTAATGAAAAACAATGATGCCAATGTCATTTTAGTTTTGTGAAGTGCGGCCAGTGAATAGACTCAAAATTCTAGATGAATGAAAGGAAAAAGGCGACAGAAAACAATTACAATTTAATAGGTTGATGTTAAGATAAGGAACATTTATGTTTTGTTTTTCCTTCGAGTGATAATGCACTTTTTTCTTGCGTGTGTTGATGCCGTGTTCACACATTCCAAGCCCCTTCCCCCCTCTCCAACTACAACACACACCTCCACGCCCACCCCACGCGCACACTCCCACGATCACCAAGGCGAGACGCGTCCTTCGCGGCGCAACTCCGCCGCAGTCCACACGCAACTCGAACCGAGCACGGCGACCAGATGGCCCTGTGGACATTTTTTCTTGTCATGTGCGCGTTTCCTCGTGGCTACGGTAAGAGCGCTTCCTTTCCGCTCCACGTGATTTGTGATGACCGCCAAACGAATCACACCGCTTCGCATGTTCCCGTGGGGCCTTGTTGAAGAGTCGGTGGAATCGGCGCATCCGCACACGCTCCACGGCTGCTGCGAGGATGGCAAGGAGAGGGCTCAAACCCTGACCAACTGCAACGACCTCCCCTACATCTCCCACTACCACGCCTGCAGGTAAAGACACGCACCGGGCCTTCTCTGCAATCTTCATCCCCTGCTCAGGGGGGATGCGATTGCTTTACAGCTTTCTTGAAGATGTTTGTTGAACATTCCTCTGTGCTTTGTTTTTTTTTTTTGTTTCTTTCTCTCATTTTCCTCCAAAAGTGAGTGAAGTCTATACGTGAAGGTGCGCAAGCATTCAAGCTAAATTTGTGGATGAGGTAAAAGAAGAACAAGAATATGTAAAGACCAGGGGTGTCAAACTCATTTTTGTGCTTAAGAAATTATTTTACGGCCTTCCAGAGTGAGGAGTACGTTGTCGTAATGTTTGTTGTCGTGTGGCGCAGGCTGGCCCAGGAGCAGTGCTGCGTCGCCGTCGCTGAGCGGCGGCTGTGCGACCAAGGCGCCTCCATGGCCAACTGGCAGGGGGCTTGCGAGAGGCACTTCTTCCCCGGGAAGCCTTGGGAAAATCAAATCGCCAAGGTGACACCCCGCCCACTATCAGCTTTTGCACTTTTGATGGCCGTTCCACAATTATGTGCGTTTAGAGGTGCTGCGACTGCTGCATGTTGGGCATGGCGTCGGCGGACCAAGACCCGGATTGCGGCTTGAGTTACATGGCCCTCGGCATCGAGTGCGAGGAGGTTGCCAGAAACTGCTGTTCCAATTACACCGCGGGGGGATTTAATTCGACTGCAGGTGATACACGCTTTTGTAAAATTAAAAAAAAAAAAAAAAAAAAGTTTCCAGCATAATTATTTCGAAATGCCATCTGCTATCTCTCTTATCTATGTACCATTGAAAGTAAGGCCATGTTCCACTAAATACAATTACTGTCCAATGCGTTTTTTGTACTGACTGCTCTAGAGTTGCACCGAAAACAATTTGAAGGCTGTTGCGGCCCCATATGGTGACAAACATGTTGAAAGTGTCTTCGCTACAGGTCAGAGACATTGATTGCGGTTGTTGTTTTCAGTGAATATGACCGCACCGCTCCCATTCGATGGTCCCACCGTGCCGCAAGTGAATTTCACCATCGTGCCTCTCCTGGCACCAGACAACTGTTCGGGTTTGTATCTGACGACGTAGTATCGGTAGAAGTTTTTATATACTTTGGAAGACTGCAAAGAGGTTCGATCCTGGTCTCCAAACTCCCCAGTCATGAATTGCACGCACCGTTGCATCGAGGACGGCATGTGTGCCTGTTACGTTGGTTATCGACTGGGACGCGACGGGACGACCTGTGAGGGTGAGTCGTGACATTCCTTTTCTTCGATTTCGGGTTTGTTTGATGGCGCGCGTGATTCCGTTGGCAGATATCAACGAGTGTCTGCTCGGCGCACACAACTGCATAGCCAGCCAAGCGTGCATCAACACGGAAGGCTCGTTCCGCTGCCAACGGGAAGGCAACTGCGGCGCCGGGTACGAGCTCACGGACAGTAACCAGTGCGAAGGTAAACGCGGCGGGAAAACCACATCGCCATTCACGGCGACGCAATCCGTGCAACATTTGATCCTCTTCTTTCTTGCCAGACATTGACGAATGCGCTTTGAACATTCACAACTGCGGAGTGGACTTTGAGTGCACCAACGCCGAAGGTTCCTTCCGATGTTACCCCAAGAACAAGTGCTCCGAAGGGTTCATTCAAGACCCTTCCGGCAGCTGCATCGGTAACTAAGATGACCCGTTCAAGGTGGACAATTCCAAACCTTTTCGAGGTTGATGTCAATCATTTCCACTTTCACCAGAGTCAGAGCGAGCGTGCCACAAATGGGAATAAGGAGTTGCGATTACGTGTAGTTGCCACAAGGCGGCGACAAAACACCAAAAGGTTCACAAGAATTTACTGCGTACATAAACCAAACTGCATTAAAATAAAAGCATGCCTAAAAACAACGTCTATCCAAAAAGGAACAACCATCGCATAAGCAGACAAAAAAAGAAAAGTCATTTTAAAAATAAAGGGACAAACATACGTAGACGGGAATTCATATAAAATACAAACGACAAACAAGGGCACCCATGTATTTAATATTTTTATAAATTTGTTCTGCTTGAAATTGAAAAAGTAGACCACATTATATCCCCGCTCGAACCTGAGGATATCCAATGTGGTGGTTTACAACCGCAAATGTGTCGAGCCGTTGCGTTTGTAATCCATTTTTCTATGCTTGACACAAAACTGACGTTTGCATCCTATCGTTTAGACATCGACGAGTGTGTGGCCCCCCCGAATCCGTGCCAGCCCGGCCACACATGCCTCAACACGCCGGGCTCGTACCATTGTCGCAGGAACACGATCACGTGCAGACGAGGCTACCACTTGGACGCCAACGGCACCCGCTGCGAAGGTGCATGTCTTCATTCACCCTTCTACCAGTTGCCTTTTAGCGCTGGCGGCAATCTCAGTACTACATCTTGGTCTCGCTTTGCCGTTTCTCCCCCAGATGTCGACGAGTGCCAGGCGGATATCTGTCGGGGGCACGGCTGCGTCAACATGGTGGGCACATACCGCTGCAACTGCAATAGCGGCTTTGTGTTCAACAGCATCCACAGGCTCTGCGAAGGTAAAAATAATATTTGTGCCAAGTTCCAGCCAGAAAAAAAAAAATCCTATAATAATAATAAGGAAAATATCACTCGATAATATTGGACCCGCTAGAAAATGCCCAGCGCTGTCTTTAACCCTTCCATGCACCCTGTAACCTGATAACATGATAAACTGTCCACTGAATGCATTTGTCGTCCACTTTCTAGATATCAACGAATGCAAACATTATCCCCGGAAGCTATGTGCCCACACGTGTGAAAACACAGAGGGGTCTTACAAGTGCAGCTGCTCCACTGGCTTTCAACTATCCTCCGATGACAGGAGTTGTGAAGGTGATGGGAGTTTTTACTCTTTGTCAAGACAGGCTTTTTTTTCTCACCTATCTTGACAGTTTTTTTTTTTTTTCTTTAGACGTCAACGAGTGTGAGTCCAACCCATGCAGCCAGGAGTGCGCCAACGTCTACGGCTCCTACCAGTGCTACTGCCACCGTGGTTACCAGCTGAGTGACAGCGATGGGAAAACGTGTGAAGGTGCAGCTTTGAGCCACGAGGCAAACTCATGAGGTCATGTCGCGTACGCGGGTCCGCCGAATGGTTTGGGGTGCTGAGTCCACAAGAGTATTTACACATCCGCTCCCGAGATCCATTGCGACTTATGTCAACAACCCGTGTTTACCATCAGATATCGACGAGTGTGCGCTGCCTAACGGTAACCAAGTGTGCCCCTACCGCTGCTTGAACTCACCGGGGAGCTTCGACTGCTCCTGCCCTCCTGTGGGGTACACCCTGGCGTCTAACGGCCGCACATGCCAAGGTAATGCCAGAAAATCCAGCCGTGAAAATCAAACTGATGCAAGCATGAAAGAAAAGCCCGCAGTGGTCAGAGAAATCACTTGAATCTGATAAAAGTATTTCTTAAATGCAAAGTCACCGCAGTGTTTGGTGGCGTGGTGTGTAACACACTCAACCTGGACCAGAGGAAGCGAAGGAGACAATTGAAGGAGCTGAAACATTTTCAGTGGGTATCTAATGTTGGTGTTTTGTGTTTAGACATTGACGAGTGTGCAACCGGAAGCCACTCTTGCGGCGCTTCGGAGAGCTGCTTCAACATCCACGGAGGATACCGATGCTTGGTCTTTCATTGTCCTCCCTTCTACCGGCAAGCGGCACACAGGTGAGCGCGCTGCTTGTTCACGAGTGAGTGAGTGCGTTGGAATCTACGCATAGTTAATAATTAAATAATATGGCTCATGTTGAATGTTTGTCCACTTTAACGTCTCGTCCGTCTAAACCAGCTGGGATGGGGCGCCATTTTCCCTATGATCTTAAACAAGATAAAGAATACAAAAAAAAATGAATAGATGTCAGCATCCCTCCTCTTGTCCCCCCCCCCTCCCCCTTCCTCTTCCCGCCAACCCCCCCATCAACCTTTCATCTCTCCTTTCCAGCCGTTGCGAGCGCGTAACCTGCGAGTTGACACGGGACCCCGCGTCGTGTTTCTCGTTGCCCCTGAGAATCGACTTCTACAACGTCGCGCTCCCCGCCAACACGCCCACCCCCGTCAACGTCTTCCGGATGGGCCCCGCCAGAGCCACTCCCGGCGACCTAACGCAACTGATCATAGCTTCCGGAGACGAGTGGGGCTACTTTGAGGCCCGCGGGGAAATGATCACGCTGCAACGCACCGTGACCACGCCTCGGGACTTCTTTTTGACGCTGGAGATGAGGCTGACTCGCTCCGGGACAACCCACCTGTACGTGGCCAAGGTCGCTGTGTTTGTCACACGGATGATACTGAACCAGCCTTCATCAGCGGAACCAGTATAGAAGAAGAACCAAGGCCCTTACTCCATTCTCCTTTTCTTCCACCTTATATTAGCATCAAGGGGACATTTTGAGGATCCTATGTGATTCATTTTCGTGTCTTCTTATCATTTTTCCCTTTTTTGTGTATCACAGCTACTTTCAAACAGAGCTTCCAAATTAAATTGTGCCCACATTATTCGCGTAATATGTACGCGGACCAGATCGCAGTATGCAAAATGGCGTCGGCTGTCGGCGACATTTAATCACCGTGATTGGCTGTTAGCGAGCAAATTAGTCAAATCAAATCACCGCTGGCTTTTAGTTGATTGGGAAATTAGGATGTAAGGTGCTTTTTTTAATTTGGAAAAAAGTGTAATTAGCAGGCAGCATTTTGAATCACTTGTTTTGGGGCGGCAGTACACTTTTCAACCCGTTAGAGGGCGCTCGGTAGCCATTGACCGCCCCATGACTAGATGGCCTTTCATCTCATCTGTGTGGCAGTTTCTCATTGTGTACCTTTTTATGTATTTGCAATTAAACCGTCAAAAACGCATGTGCAAATGACCTTTCCATCTACCCGCGCACACACACTACCTGCTTCTTCTCTTCAACATTCCTGTTTCTGAGAGCAAGTTTTTCCAGTCACCCTCAGCGGACAGCAGGAAAAATAAGCTCGCCACTTAAGTTTTGGGCACCTTGGGGCCTCGGCCAGCATCAGCAAGGCGACCCAATTAGCGGTGGAACCGCTCATGATGGATGGTGCCTCTGAGTGTCGGTGTCAGGTGATTAACACTTCATTTGCTGTAAATGATACCAAAGCGCCTGCGGTAGCCGCGTCGTTCAGCTGGATAAACGCAAGCGGACACTTTTTATTTTCCAGTGTTCCACTTTCCTGCGAGAGGTTGATTGAAAAAAAAAAAATGTAACGTAACTGCGGTGATGGTAAATCTTTGGATTGGAGGGGCCCTCCTTGTCAAAATACCACATTAATCATTGAATATGCAACATGACAATAATTACAGTATCTCTGTTTTGGAATCTTATTTTTGGAATGAGTCTTGTTCGGATGTGTATGATTTGACAAAATGTTGACCCTGCGCTCATGATGTCACTGGATCACATCAGTATAGATTTTTTTTGGCACTCGAGGCCCGACCGCATCGTCTCGGCTTCTGAGTCAGTGAGCGACTTGGACTCACCTGCTGGCTGGATCTGGTCCCTGTGCGCTTTTCCTGCGGTTTTATTTTGAAAGCCCCACTGTATTCACTCGAGTAAGTGTTATTGTAAAGATGGAGCGTGGGGTTTGGACTCATCCAAAGGCACTCATCCCCCAACGGAAAGGTGGATTATGGGGCTATTCAGGTGCTGCCAGGTTCTCCAGCAGCGTCTCGTTAACCCTTTCATGCACCCTGTAACCTGAGAACATGATAAGATGTCCACTGTAGTCACCGCTGTCCCTGAAAGGGTTCATATCCAAGCGCGGGGATCCTGACAAATCCTTTCTCTGCCGTCTCACGTGTCTCCTGCTGCTTTTGTTTGCCCCAACCTCAGATCGGTGTACAAGGACTCAATGAGCGTGCGTTGCCACAAGGCCTGCCACCTCAACAACTTGGCCTGCATGCGAGACCCCGTCCACATCGTCACCTACACCGTCCTCTCCCTGCCCACCTACACCGTCGTCGATCAACCCGAAGGTGAAATCGAACGGCCTTTGAAATCTTCCCACTTCAGCGGCGTACAAAATCACTTTTCCTTCCGCAGAAATCGCTATCCTGCGGACATTGTTGCCGGCTCATTACGCCAACGGTGACATCGATGTGGTCTTTGAAATACTGACGACGGACGACCAATACTCCTACGATGTTGTCAAGCGCGTTCATCAGGGTTACGTGATTGGTAAGACCAAAGGGATCCACTGAGAGCTCGATCGTTCACAACCATCGCGAGGTCATTTAAGATAATGTACCACCCCGCCATTTAAAGCCACACAGATTCAAAGTCACAGATGCTTTCACTGTAGGCGTTTGGTTTTGGAGTCCTCCGTTTATGATACACATACTGCCTGTCTGTCATTTTGCCAGGTGTGGTGCGCCAGCTGAGACCCATCGCTGGGCCCCAGGACGTTGAGTTGCAGGTGGCCTTGAACTTCATCAAGCCGGGATTCGTCTCACACCGCAACATTGTCGTCATCAACATTGTCATCTCCGAGTTCTCGTACTAAGCTGCGTGGCATATGCGAGGCGGACGACGACGTCAACAGATGAATGAGGACGTTGCGACGTCCGAATTGTCTGCCCAAATTATACAAATAGCCACTTATGAATTATCTGCATTAAAATTGTTTTTTAAAAAAGCCAAGTGAACTAAAGTGAATTACATTTCCTGGAATTGTTTAATACATTCCAGATTTGCAACAAAAATGTAATGTATGGGCGGCAAAGAGGAATGTTGGAGGCAATTATCACCGTGGGGTGCCCAAATTTCTTTCCATTCTACACGCAATAATTGTTGAGCATGTTCAGTCATGAAGACAAAGTGGGTACTATTAAAAAAAAAAGTGCAGCAAGAATGTTTGAGGAAATGTCCTTTGTCAGATGTGGCTTTGCATCCTATTTGTGTGTTTGAAAGTCTTTTTCCATACAGCAAATGTACATATGACTGTCCTTTTTTTTTCATGAAGTTCAATCTATTTTGTCAAATGTAAAAGAATACTTGTGTGATGATCAATTTTACACTGGATTTTCGAGCAAAGCCGTCCAACTGCGCAATTAGCTGTGACCATTGAAGACTAATTGTCATTAAATGTGGTCACTGTTTTGCGCCGAGGAAAGCCACCACATCCTCCCATCAACCGTCTTGCAGTGAATGTAACAGAGGCTCCAAAGTCATCCAAGTCTCACAGAATGTCCTGTTTTTCCTGTAACTTTACACGGCCAGGCTCCTCAATAAACTTCCAGTTTGGTGAGGATATTTCCAGTTATTACCGCTCGCAGGGATGAATAATCAGATATACAATACTGGAAATGTTTTGCTCTGTAAATAACTCATGTTAAAGATGAAAAATGGCTTGAGGGCGAATACTTTGCCACGTATATAATCAACTGATCTGACTTTGACCACCGCCGTCGTGCTCCACGTGGCCAACCAAAACACGGGGGGGCAACCGTAGCGGGGGGAAATCCTGTGATCTAAACTTTACCACACTGCATGGAAATCCCAGATGCTTGTCCTGTGGCAACAACTGTCCCACAACTTGTCTCGAAGAGATGAAAATCTGGACTGCAGACTTTAAACATTGCACTCGGTGAATGGATTTCATATGTCGGAGGCGAACTTGTGTGAATTATTAAAGGGGAGGGGCAACAATTGCATCTCACTACACGTTGCATAAGTCAATGGAAGTTAAGAGAGGGTTAAACCTACAATAAATGTTATCTCCTCTGTTCATTCACCTTCGGTGACCGTTTGTTTTCATCGAACTGCGTGAAATATGCTTGAAAAAACTCGCGCGTGTTGGACTCCGCCTCTTGCTGTGACTCAACCAATGAGCTTTTAGAGCTACTTCCGCGTTTGCCCCACTCGCCCAACACGCGTCAAGCAAGAAAACATGGCAGCTGCTAGCAACCCAGACGACTTTTCGGCGTCTATCGCGCGTATTTTGAATGAAAAACACTGCCGCGAACACTTGGATGCTCTCCAAACGTTTACGGCCGCGTTACGGGACCATACATACAGGTGGGAACGAAGTCGCGTGTTGTCTCGTATTTCGACAGCGGAGGTGTTAGCTTTCTTGCTAAGATAACTGAACTGTCAAGCATACAACTAAGGTAACTATTCGACAGTATTGGAGCTTGTATATCACCCTTTGAGTATACTTCTAAGTTTTCCTCACCTTATATGACGAGGTGGGAGCTGAGGCAGGATTGAAAATGTTTTACAAAGCCAAATCAGTTTGACTAGTGACCTTTATTGGGCTGTACGAGAAGGCCACATTAATTCAAAGATGCATTATTTGAATAAGGTCAAAACACATTTGAAAAAATGCAGCACTCCTGACGACCTCAGAACAAAACCCTAAAAAACTGTTCAAAACGCTGCCGCATGTTTCTTCTTGATTTGAGTTTATGAGCTGTAACTGGACACTAATTTCCCAAAAGCTCCAGAAACCATGAGAAAATGACTGTCGTTGATCATGATTTCATCCACGCCAATGCACCTGCTCACCCCCTCCACATCCAACCAAAACCACTGGGCTCCTCACATCCAAGATACTCTTACTCCCTCAAACCCGACTAGGCCTTGGGTGACCGGGCTTTCTGTTTTGCTGCATGTCAGACTTGGAAGTCTCTTCCACTTGACCACTCCACAATCAATCATTAAAAAAAACAAAACAGGGGACTGGAACGGCTTAAGAACATTAATTTCAATGGGGAATATTGATTTTATATCGCAGTGGAGTTAGCTGCTTGATCACGGGGTAAATGAAATGTATTGTTGTTATTAATAACTATGAGATTTTATTTGCTCAACCGGTAGGGATGTTGTGGACAGAGAGTGTTTCTCCACTCTTCTGAAGCTCATATCCCGACTAAGCGACGAGCTCAAAGCTGCCAGCGGCGCCCATCAGGACCTGAAATCCACCGCTTTGCACCTGCAGCTCGCCGCCGAGTGCTTCCGGGCTTTGAGGAACTCCTGCGTGCAAAGTGCTCGCAACCAGAGCCTCGTCAGGTACCAACATGCATCATTCACGTGCTTGTGTGGCCAAATGCCAACATCTTTCCTCTTTTAGGGAACTTGGTTTTGTTGATGTTTCCATTCAACTCCTGAGATTCCTTCACGCAAATTCAAAGAGCGGGCTTGGCATTTTTGAGTGTAAGTTATCCATTCCAAATGGAAGGTTTTAATAGTACAGTAATCCCATTTTACGATGTGTTTTAAAAACTGGTTCCATCATTTTCATTATGGTGACAGTCGGTCATAAATCAGATTGCAACAGTAATTCGAGTCACTTCAACTTTTTATGGTTCACAAAATAGTGGGATGTCAATATGTTGACTGCACTTTTTATGCACTGAACTAATCTAAACACTCAGTAAATAAGTAAATAAAATACACATTTAAAAAAAATAAAGCCTGCCGACCAACCGGCTGAAATGATCTATTTTTTCTCCTGAAATTGCAGCCTTTGCGATTTAAAAATGGCTTTCTACTACGTTTAAATGTCGATTTAAATTAATTGTTCAGCCTCGGTTCAAATGACAATTTTGGTCAATGTAACTTTTTTTTTTTTCTTTCAATGATCTATTTTATAGCTCTGCGTTGTGCGATCCAGTTTCTTGGCAATCTATCCGTGGGGAACCAAAAGTGCAAAGATGACATTTGGCGGCTGAGTTTTCCAGGACTGCTCTTGTGAGTTGACACAATTGCAAGGCGCTGTATATCAATGTAATCATGTCCAGGACACAGCGGTGGCAAAAGGACTTACGTTGTTCAGAAGTAAAAATGCTTTTTTTTTTTTTTTTGTCAAAAAAAAAAGAATGGTAATAGATGCCTAAACATCTACTTACAGGTGGTACAGAATAATGTAAAATACATCACTGCCAAACAGGCGCATGCATCACGAGCACGTTTCCCCAAATTGCGAGCAGGCAGCTGCTCAACGTGGACGACGAGAAGACGGTGAGCTACGCCTCCATGGTGCTCCACACGTGCTTGGATGAAAACAAGGTGGAAGAAGTGGCCGAGCTGCAGAACATCCAGCTGGCGCTCAGGGTGATGGCGCTCTGCCAAACCCAGCCCGAGCTGGACTGGACGTAAGAGACCGTTGGCCAATTTGTCCATGTCACAAGAGAGTCCCCCCCCCGCCCTCCGCCTTTTTTTTTTTTTTTTTAAATCCCAATTTCTTTTTTTAACAGGGTCCTCATTGCAACTCAGCATTTTCTCAAGTCTTCAGCTCTGGTTGAAAACATGTACTTTGCAATGTCTCCCTCTGAAAGGTAATTTATGTGGATTCATACCTCAGTATTCTTGATAACAAGTCTATCGCTGTGAAGAATTGCCACATGTGTGTCTTTTTCAGGCTGACCCTCTTAGAGCTGATCTCTGCCCAGCTCAGTGGCGGCGAGTCGCTGGATAGCGGCATCCCGCCCGGCGTGGCCCGTTTCCTCGCCTCCTCCTTCCAGAAAGGTTGCGGAGCCGTGCTGAGCCTCGCCACCGGCTCTGCCTCCAGTGATGAGGTACTGTACATCAATGCTACTCAAACCTTTTACATTAAATACCATCGAAACCTGTGATGGTTGACTGCATACGGCATTGCAATTCTCTGCAGGTTCTGCAGGAGGCGCTGACGGTGATCAGTCTGCTGGACGTGCTGTGTGAAATGACATCACACCAAGGGCAGTTCATGTTCCTCCAGGACCATCCGGACCTCCTGGTGACCACCGTAGGTAAATCAAATCTCAAACAACAACCTCCCCTTCTTGACTTGACCCCGCCCCCTCCACACAGCGCCCCACTCGCCGTCGTAAAGGTGTCATGGCGGAAAGCAGATTCCCGTACGCATTCCTGCCCCGTAGTCGATAAAACACAAATTTTAAGTGTCTCTTTCTCTGCTGTTTCCCATCAGAGCTCCTGAAACAGGTTCACACCATCGGAAAGAGCAGTGAGAACATCTTCAGCTCGGCTCAGAATTTTGACTCCCTCGTCGACGCAGAGACGGACCCGTCCGGCCAGTCGCCCGTCGTTAGCTTCAAGGCTCACCTCATCAGGCTTGTGGCAAACTTGTGCTATACGCACGCCAACAACCAGAACAAGGTAGATCGATGCATAGCATCCAAAAAAAAGAGAGAGAAAGAAAAGGAAAATTTGTTGCGCTTGCCCTCATTAGTACACTCAGTACTGTTACAGCTCAAAGTGCAAATTTTGCTCAGGTGTGTGAAAATCGGATATCTCCGGTCAACCATGTGTTTTATTGGTGTTCTTCGGTGAGAGCCCATCTCAAATGGGATATGGGAACTTTGATTTTGAAGGAAGATTGAAAAGCGAGATAGATGGACGTCATGCTTTTTTTTTTCTCCCCCACCCAAAGTTTCTTCTTGAGTGCGTTATTATTTCACAGCGCGAGCAAGAAACGAACAGCCGCCAACTCAGCTGGATGACGACGGAGAGGAAATGAGTTTATAGACTCTGCCTGTTCCTGTCCTTACAAAGCATGTTCTGGCGCTCTCCCCCCTCGGCGCCTCCCTCCCTCGCTCGCCCGCCGCCGCCGCGATTTTATCAGCTTGCCTCCGTGGCCTGCTGTCAACGTATCACTCGTCACATCAAGATAAATGTTAGGGTGATCCGGGGAGGAGCTGGCCTCCGTGCGTGCCACAATATAGGGCCTAGTCCCGTTTAATAGGAAGCGATTGATGGAATGCTTGTGGGATGGACACCCTCAGTTGGCCTCTCTGTAATATTTATGGATGCCGATCTGCGGGCTGTCAGTGGTCAGAAATCACTCCGTATCTGTTTTCACCACGAAGGTTCCAGTAAGCCACATTTTACTCTGTTCCCCCGTCTGGAGAGATCGGAGCAGAAGATGTCCTCGCCAAGTGCCGAACTGGATGTGCATAAAGCTGAAGTCCAGTTGCTGCAGTGGAAAAATGCAGAGCGGGGCTGTTTGTTCTCGTCTCTGACAACACCAACAGCTTTTTTTGTTTTGTTTTGTTTTGTTTTGTTTTGTTTTGTTTTGTTTTTTTTTTTAAACACGGCTATTAGTTCTGGCGTTCTGTTTGGAGAGTAACCGCCGTGACAAGTGGAGGTCAGCGGCAAGCAAATACAATAATTGAGCCTATGGACGCAAATAAATGATAAGAAGCAGATGAAGCCGTTGTGACAGGCTGAGGCTGAAGCCACAACTATGCCGCTGCTTTTCTTTCTTTTTTTTTTTTCCAATTTTCCCTCTGTAGATATCATTTGCCTTCAAATAATCACTCGGAATTTTCAAACACGGGCCCTATTTTCTCACTTATTATAAGAGACAACAACATTGGTTTTGTTGAGCGCGCTCTATTGCGATTGCAGTGCAGCTGGGAAAGGATTCAGCGGGACAGGCAGAGAGTCGAAAAGAGTTGCCGCAAAGGGGGTCGATTATTTTGCATTTGTTGTGAAAGAGAATGACGTTGATTTACAAGTCCATTTGTTTGCTCAGGTGAGAGAACTGGAAGGCATCCCCCTCATTCTGGACAACTGCAGAATCGACAGCAACAACCCATGTATCCTTGGCGCTGGCGTCGGGACAAAAAAAAAAAAACAATTTTGTATTTTTGTCCCCGCGAGTATGTTATTTTTCCATATTTTTGACCAATATATATAAAGTGTGAAAATGGATTGCTCTCTTTGACAGTGCAATGTTTTTTTGGAAGGGGGGTTGGAGATTCCGCCCGTGTTACTTTAAAGAATTTTCAACACATATTTTGAATTCTTCACTTCTATAAGATGTCGAATTCCGTTACACTCATCTCACCTAAAAGTGGAAAAAATTCCGTTGTCTCTCCTTATAGAACACCTCCCCAGTCATCAGCCAATGGTCAATTTTGGCCATTCGGAACCTCTTCGATCACAACCTGAAGAACCAGGAGCTGCTTGCCTCTCTGGAGCGCCGCGGCGACGCCGACTACTCTGCACTCAGGGACTTGGGCTTTCGTGTGGAGGAGCGGGACGGCAGCTTGTTGCTCAGACCCACCAAGAAGGATGCGTGAGGTTCTCAAGGGTGGGGCACAGGTTTGAAAATTGTGGGAAAGCGAAGTTTAGGGTCAAGGAGCTTTTCGTGATATTTTTGAAACCCACAAAAACGGCTAAGCTACGTTCAGAGTTTATCTGGCTGATAGCCGGTCAAATGTGAATTAAGCATCATGTCGCTTATGCTTTAAGTCGAGAAGACAATCAAGCAACGACAATACAGAGAGTCGTTTTGGAACAATTAAAAAATAATCAAACATCATTGTGAATGTGTTAGTCGAGCTAAGTAGAACTAGATTCAAGTTAACTTGCTTCCAGCTTCAGCAAATGCAAACTGTCATTTACTTTTTGTGTTGGCCATCAGTGGTCACTCTGGATGAGATGACAGGGCCGGAGAAGCGTGAGTTTACAGAATCCCCACCCGATACACTGAACAGTCCTGACACTTGAACAATGTGTTGGTTTACGGGCCCGCCCGTGCCCTCCCTCACCCTGTTTGCTCTGTCTCCCATTTTGTTAATGACAAGATGCGCTGAAACAATCGGCCAGACTCTCCCCTCAATCCGCCGCCATAGTGCGAGGAGCTTATGTGGTTCCGGTCCCCGAGGGTTTCAGACAGCTAACAAAACAGCGCTTACTTGCGCTCCACCGGCTGGCCGCAATGCTTTTGAGCCCCACAGGAAAGAGGCTGTGCGAGTCATTCAGCGCCGCCGCGGCCGTCTGCTCACCTCCTAACATATTAGTCAGGGCCGCGACTTCTGCGCTTTCCCATATCAGCGTTTTGTGCTGCTTTGCGTGTGTCCCCGCTGCAAAAAAAAAAAAAAATCGGTTCCTATTTGGGATAAGGCTGAATAAAGACATTTGTACACTACCCACAACGTTTTGGAATGACTTTATTGAAGCCAAGAGAGGCCAGATGCGGCCCCCCCCCCCCCCCAAAAAAAAAAAAAAAAAATCGCTTCCTATTTGGGATAAGGCTGAATAAAGACATTTGTACACTACCCACAACGTTTTGGAATGACTTTATTGAAGCCAAGAGAGGCCAGATGCGGCCCCCCACCCCCCCCCAAAAAAACAAAACAACAGGCATTAAGAGGAAGCTCAAAATGTATCAGGGAAGTCAAGAGTTGCTTTTCGAAAGCAAGAATTATAAAGATGCTCAAGTTTGTACTAAATTCACTCTTGCAATCAAACTGAATTTCTGGTCTACGTTGCATCGGAAAAGGTCATCGTGATAATCTGGGCTACTTTGGCGACGCACAGATTATTTACAATTTCGGAACAACAGAATCAACCCCGAATAATTTATAGCTCTCAAAAGTGACCGCCCCTCCCTCCCCACAAAGACAATACTAACACCCCCCCTTTTTTTTTTTTTTTTTCATTTTTAGTAAACACTTCTTGAATGGCAGCGTCCTTTCCTTTTGTAAATGACATAAAGTGCCATGTTCCTCATATAAAAATATACTCTTCAAATTGTTTTGTCAGTTACATCAAGCCTAAATAAACATGATTTAACACATGATGGGTGATGGACCAAAAATAGCTGCAAAGGCCCTTTGGTCTGTGTGGTTAAGGCACATGCCATCCACCCAGGCGGCCTTAATTCCGGGTCTGAGCCATTCATGGGAAATATGTCCGTTGCAGCCCGACCGGGTCGCGGCACCGCGGCGGCGTTCCGGCGGGCCTTGCGCGCTTTTCTCAGCCCTTCAAAAAAAAACAATGAACACAGTCGGGATGGAAAGTGCCGTTCACGCTCACGAGGTTGGATACTAAAAATAGAACAGGACCCGAGAAACACAAGCCCGTGCTTCATCAATACCGTAAAAGGTGACGGGTAACTAATCATGGCGACGAAGGACAGATTTGTCTGAATATTTCGCCAACGCTGACGACGCTGCACGAATCCAGTTTGCAACAGTAGATCATCGAGAAGCAAAAAAAAAAAAAAAAATGGTGAGTTGTTGTTTCCATCCTCTAGAATTATGCAATAAAGTCTAACATAAATTATTTTAATTTCAGTGTTCAAACAGAATACAGTGTGAGTTACAGTCAGTCGTATTCCGGCTTTTTAGCCTTTGGGTGTTCCCTCACTTTCGACCGCAGCACTTCCAGTTAAGCGGTGTGCCGCTCGCGTTGCCGTCGTAGGAATTATTTTCCGTATGCGTACGCGACACCCTTTTCTATAGTGTCACTTTCAACCTTGTTTTGACGTAAAGCCTCGGCATAACCTATCCTTTCTCCCGCAGGATCTGTTGTTCCACACCGGCTCGTGAGGGAAGTTTACATCTCCCCTGTCCTAAAAGGAGGTCCAAAAAATGTGCAAAATCTTTGAATAAATACTTTGAATAAATCCCCTGACCTCGCACCCCCACGTTCTACTTGCAGGTAAAAACTTCTGCGTTCTCGCTGCAGGTGTTGCACCGGACGACGCAGCACCAGTGGAACTTGCAGTTGCACTGCCAGACCCGCGTGTAATGGTGCGTGTCGTAACCCCGGCCGCAGCACATCACGTTGCAGCCGTCCGTGTGGGCCGACGTTCCGTTGCAGAGTCTACCCCTCGTCCCCGTGCTGCCCGTGGCCTTGTCCTCCTCGCAGTAGTTGGGCGAGTGCTCCAGGTACACCAGGTCGGTGTCGGTGGGCTTCTGGTAGGCCCTGCCTTCTTTGAGCCGCAGAAAGGAAGGCTGCCGGAGGCGGGAGGCCTGGACCGGCTCGACTTGAACCGCCGCGCCGTAGCGTTCCTTGAGCAGGTAACCGATCTCCCGGAATTGGGGCAGCGTGATCCAGCAGGTCTTGGTGGTGCAGGAACCCGAAACGCCGTGGCACTTGCACTCCAGCTTCATCCGCTCTTCCAGGATCTGCGCACAAACACACCCACTTAGTGTTGGGGACCTTTGAAATGGCGCCATCCAAAGAGCAAACAGTCACTCAACCGCGGTTGAGATCTCGCTCGATTGAGATCCTCGAGTCTTTTAAAGCCGAAAGAAACGTGGGACACCAGAGAAGATTCATGAAAGTCTGGGTTGTCACTCACGATAAATGAGGGTTCATTGTACCTTTGCTCGGATACCGGCAACTGCGCTGCGACTTGGCCGGGAAAGGGCCTTGACTCCTTGCGACTTGGACTCGAGTTGACTTGTGTCACTCGTTTGTTGACTCGTGACTTGACCAAAACTTGATTTAAGTGTGCACATACATACGGTTGATAAATTGGACTGCCCCTCTTGACGGAAACATGTCTTGTGAAAATACTCATGTGACCGTGCGCGTTGATGTGTCGAGAAACATTCCCGAAATGGAATCGGATCGACTCCGCCGCCGGTACCTTCCGTCCCGCCTCGTTGTTGTGCAGGTTCATCAGGCGCCGGGCGTTTTTCTTGATCTCGCGGGCGTCCACGAAGCGGCGCGAGAACTCCACGCCGTACTTGACGTCGGCCGAGCAGCCGCCCCACTTCCAGCCCTCCTCGCGGTCGTGGTAGCCCTGCTTCTCGCGGTCGCAGCCGCACTGGCTGAGGTTCCCTCGGCTACACGCCGCCGTCACCACGTGTGCCACGCCGGCAGCCGTGATGGCATACGTGAAAGCCGCCTCACGGCTCCCTGAAGAGACGTACGACAAAAATCTTACGTGCGGCCAAGACAAATGTTATGACGTGAATTCACCGTTGGGAATGAATTCAACGGTCTCCTAGAAACAAATATTAGAATCGAGCTTGTCGCTCAGTGCTACCGAGGGTGTTTTTGGCCAGAAAAAAAGGCCTTGTTAGTCCAAAACGGGCCACCTCTGGTGCTACGTTGTCAGTGTGAGGTAGCTATGGACAGCGGTTCTTTCATGTCCCACATGGCTTCCATTAGAAGACGTCATCTGGTTTGCAGTAGCAGACTCTGCATGCAGCCGAGGCGGCAATGAAGGTTTTTAATTGCCCGCGATGCCGTAGGGCCACCGTAGCGCCGTCATACCATCACGGATGCCGGCTTTTTCTGCCTTTTATATCAGGAAGCATCTGGATGCTCCTTTTGCCTCTTTAGTCAGCGGGGACGCGAAAAGCCACGATTTCCAAAACCAATTTTTGAAACACGGAATCGTATGACCACAACGGACTTTTCCACTTTGCGTCATCTCAGGCACAGCCCGAGCCCAGAACTTGCTTCTGGATGTTATTGATATATGGTTTTCCCGTTGCAAGGCTTAGTCTTACTCCTATTTATTTATTTATTTATTTATTTTTCACTTTTTTTTTTTTTTTTGGTGGAGGCGGTGACAAATCGCATTTCCTTGAAACGGTCCTTCCAAGCCCAAGTAGCAATATCCTTTATGGACTCATGTCAGTTTTTTAATGCGGGGAGGCAAGGTCGTTGGAGATCGCTTTCTCCCTCACATGGCGTGATTTCTACGCATTCTGCGGATATTTCATGGATATTATGGTTTGTCGAGGATGGAATCCCCATAAATTCCTGACAATTATTTCTTGAGAAATGTTGTTCTCAGACGCTCGGACCCTTTAGCCCACACGCTGTAGCGCCGAGCCTTTCAAGGATTCCCCTCAGGACACAATTATCAGACCCCATCGTCTATTAACAACTACTTGTCGAATCTCGCAATCATTCCTCGCGCGCTTTCTGATCCCGAGGCCAATGTCTATCCGCTAATTTATGTCAAGTGTCCACAACTGCAGGCTGAAGTCATCAGCAGTTACGGTTCACTTGTTGTCCAAACTGCAGGAAAACACAAGTGACATCTACTGGCTGACCAGAAGAGTTTTTTTTTTTTGTTTTACTGGATAAGCCTTCCTGTTATGTTTTATGTGTTTGATCAATGGAATTTCTCACACGGCTCAAATGTCTTCCTGTGTCCGTCTTCGGCGTTCCACATTGTTTTTGCAAGCGATACGACGGCATTGAAAACCTCCGTTGTCGAGCTTGATTGACACATGCCCATTTCCGAGGAGTTTTTTTTTTCCGCATGTCGCCATTTGAACTGGAGAATAAACACCTTCATATTTTATGGCATGCTGTGTAGGGGGCGGCGGGAATTAATTTACTGGCACCACGGTGGGTCGGCGTAATAGGATATCCGCCCTCGCCAATCAGTGTAATGCGTCCTCTCAACAGGCCGCGGTATTAATGCACCGCGTCTCGGGTAGGAGCAATTCTAATGGCTCCCCTCCAACCTGACAAAGTGAAACCATCGGGCCTGCTGTGGTCCCCCCCGTCCTCACAATCCATAACTAATAACAAACTCTGAAGTCTTCTCTCATCAGGCTAAATCTGTAGAATCCGCATATATTGTACAGGGAGCATTTCTCAAGGCATCAGGCGCATGCGACGGCCAAACAGCCATCTCCTCTCGCCGTGATTTGTTTGGATTGTACAGCGGCGCATTGTTGCCATCCAGCTGCCGGGCCTGACTTCAATTAGTGGTTAGCGTGATTCAACCCGGCTCTTTCTCAACTCTTAATGAGTTCAAAGGACTGGCGGTCAAGCAGATGAAGTGGTACAGATGGTACATGAGTGCCGTTTCGGTTGACGCTCTTGAGCAATTGCTGCTGAAACAAAACCCTCACTTATGCTAAATACGTTATGTAAAAAAAAAAAAATGCGCAAAGGCCGTGAATTATGTCGTACTCATTTATGGAGCCGTTGTCTTAACCTGTTTTGCAGCATTTTGTTTTTGGGGCGCGTGGCTAAAACGGAGCCCAGTGATGACCCCGCAATGCCCCGATGGGATATATTGCAGCCTGCAATGGCTTCACGTCGATATATTTTCACGGCTCGGGCTTGTGATTGTGGTGTCGGCGTAAGAAAGATGTCAGACAAAGCTGCATGCATTTTTCCAGATCGTAGTCGAGCTATTTGATTGACAGGTGATCAGGGTGTGGTTTCTGTACATACAGTGGACGCACCCGCAGCATTTGAGAGGGGTGGCAATGACTTGATTTGCCGCGATATTTGACACATCATTTTAAATACTTTTTTTTTTTTTTAATCATTCAAATTTGGCAGGCTTTTTAAAAGAAGCTTGTGAAAAGTACTGATTTGTGTTTTGAAATGTAGCGATTAAAAATGAACAAAGTCATTTGAAAAATAAATAAGTAGAGTAGACACTTTAAAAACTTATTTTGAAACGGTCACAAACGATTTGTACTTTGTTCCATTTCACCATCCTATCGAAGCCATATTGCGCTAGTTCTGGAGAAGGTTCTTAAAATGAAGTCTCCATGGGGAGTCCAAGCTGGATCCCGAGCGCACTCTTCTCCGCGTTTACACGCCACAGAGTGAAAGGAGACATTTCCTCTTGACAAAAGAAGGAAAGGGATCCAGATGTCTGTCTCTGCGGAGCAAAGTGATTGCTCCCAGAGCTGCGAGATTAAACGCGGGCCCAAACCCGCAACTCGCAACGCCGCCGCAACAAAACTTGGCGGTACAATTTTATATAAGGCTCTGGCAATGAGGAGCCAACAGGCTTGTGTGGGAAGTGGAGTGGCCTCAAACCTATTTGACGTCAAGATGTAGCATCTTCGTGCAAGGGTAACTGCTTTGACAAGTTTTACAACTCTGCAGTCGCATTCTGAAATAGAGAGAGGGGGGTCTGGGAGGGGGTCATTGGATTGCCTATATTTTAGGATGAGCTCTGGAAAACAGTGCACACAGTTCCCTTAAAATCCAGTAATTTACTCAGAAGGGGTGCTTTTGAAGGTTTAGTTTGCTATCGATTTTTGTCAATGCATTAATGGGCTGCTTGCTCCAAATTCCGGAAAAATTAATAATTAAAAAAAAAAACTTTATGACTTTTTTTTAGAAATAGCCCCCAATAGAAGCCGGCCCACGGGGCGTCTGCCAGGCTGTACTCGCCGGCCAGTCCAGCCTTGGTTAAGGGTTAGGTTCAGCAACAGGGGGATTTTTTTGGGGGGGGGGGGGGGGGGACTTCTTAGTAATGGTCTCACAGGCAGTATACCTCTCCCATAATGACATCTAAAAGGTTCAAATTACAATTGTCTTGTTTCTTTTCCCATCTACTGGATTTTACGTAAAGGTACAGAAATAACTCCTCGTAATTTCTGTACCGTCGCAAAACCTTCATCAACGATCACTACTGAGTCGCCAATGGACTGACCTACTCTCAGCTCTTGTCCAAAGACCGTCCTCTCGCCCAGGGCCGAGCAGTTCCAGCGCCCGTAGCGGAACTGATACTGGCACTCGTTGATGCCCAGCTGGGCGCCCTCCCCGATGACGATGATGGCGTCCGGGCGACTCTGACACAGGGCCCGCTGACGCGGCGCCAGGCCCGGTATCTTGTTGCAGATGATGTTGGCGCCCAGAGCTACCACGGATGACAGCGTCCTGTGTGCGGACAAGAGACCCGGATGAAGTCACAGGTCAGAACCGTACGGGGTTTTCATTGAACATGATTGCAAGTTGTAGTTTGCGGTCGTTGAAGAGCGGCAGTACATGAGGTAACCAAAATATTGGGCAATAACGCGCAACTAAAACGCAATGACAGAAACTAGGGCAGAGCAGTTAATCATGGTCCACGTCTATGGAAATATCACACATATGCTGCGATTCCTTTGTGGTCTAACATGAAATTGGACTGACTAAATATTCCAAGTCACATTTTTCCCCACTATTTCCAAAAGTATTCTGTCTCACCAAAGAGGAAGCCCAACAAGTCAGTGCGGAAAGAAACGAGGGCACGTTACTTCCTTGTGCTCAGCACCTGCGTCCTCGCGCGAATCGCCGCGCGTCAAAGTGATGTGATCCAAAGGCTATCGGGGTTTTTCAAAATGCGGAAAAGGAGCGGCGCGAAGGGTGAGGCACGTACAGGTAGCTACCGCTGCTGAGAATGAGGAAGATCTGCGGATAGTAGACGGACAGCAGCGCGCTGCGAGACGAGATGATGAGCATGGTTGCGCATTGAACGCAACTTGAGCTTCTCTCCTTACTGTCCTTAAAAAAAAAAAAAAAAAAGAAACTCCTTTCCCAAAGCGTCCAGGCAGGTAGTGGATTCAAGGCTTGCTCGTCGGTTCTTCAGCTCCGAGCTCCACTGGCGGTGCGCCGAGGGTGAGCCGCTGCATCCCGAGGCCGAAGTGCGCGCTCCCACCTGGGCTGCGAGAGTGCGGGGGTGGGCGTGGTGCGGGTGTGGAACGGTGGGTGGGTCGCTCCGTGCGCATCTGAAAAGTGGCGCTGCGGGTCTTTGCGAGGGGGGGGATGCAGCTGCACATGGTGCTACCGCGTCGCCCACCTCCAATCCCGAGCCGGCCCACGCCTCCGTGGGATGGGGTCCCTTCGCCAAAATTTCATTTGGGGACTCCTCTTTTCCTGTTAGTAATATTATTCAGCAGTCATTGTTGCATGCTTCCCTTGAGGGATAATCATGACAATAAATGTTTCAGACCGACTCGAAAATGCTGGACTGCATAGTGCCGTAGCCCTCACGTCATCAAATTCAAAGCAGAGGCTTTATTTCTCAATTGAGTGTTGATGATTATAAGACAGTGTTCGAATATTAGCGCTACATTTGTATCACAAATAATCCTTTCCAATTCCAATGACTGGAAATGCCACCAATTCTCCTGCCCCACAATGTACGTGTGCAATTTGGCCACTAGGGGACAACATAATAAAAGCAGAGATGCACGCAGTTTCACAAGTGACTCACTTTGCCGCAAAACTAACATTTGTTTTCTTTTTCAGAGGATGGAGAATATATGCCTGTAGGTATTGTTTTATTGTCTATGTGCATGTGTTCAGACATCTGTTGCCCGGTGGCTATTGACGCTATTCATTCGCATGTCTATGGTGTTTTGTATTGTGTGTTTGCGGTAAACTATGCCCAAGACAAAGTTGCGTGGCTTTAAATATGCAACATATCCTCCCCTTTGCTTTATGTCTAGTTTGACAGTCAATTCCAACTGGTGTTGGCACCATGAAGTTCTTGTATCGGGATTATTTGCTCGCAAGTCAAAATAATGGCTAGGCAGTTAATGCCGTAGTTAAAATCTCAAATACAAAATGAATAGCACTAAAATTTTGCCTCAATAAATGTTTGAGGTCAAATAGTTCTCAAAGATTAAATAACATGATACACATTTAGAACATTCAATTCAGTGATTGTTTGTTTACCACGAGAGAGAGCTTGCATACTACTAGTCAGGAGTGGTACACGTACCAAAACCGAGTCACTGATATATTTGAATATACAAATATTTCAATCCAAATATTTCACTTTCTAATGTTGCTCTGTTCTACCACTGCTCCCAAAATAAACAAAATATAATTAAATATTACTCCATCCCCCTAGTTCCCCTTCCACATCACCGAACAAAAATGTCACCAAAAGTACTGGAATAATGATGATGTTTTGTGAGAACGCATGTAGTTTAAGAGCATTTAATTGTTTTGCCAAGAGTATCTCATCATTTTGTCAACATGACGCTTTTTTAACACGCTTCTTTCCTTTTCCTCCCTTTAGTGAAGAGTTGAGAGGTCACGCTTTGTGCTGTTTCATCGGCGTCTTTGCGCTCTCTTGTGGTTGTGGAGGGGAAAACGTCTGCCGCTGCAAACCCAGGTACATGCACTTAGGAGGGCAAGTTGTCTTCAAGGCTAAATCATTTGAGTGCAAAGTGTGCTTATGAACACAGAAAAACGCTCACGTTGTTGCCATCTTGACTTTTGGGAGCGTTTTACCGGGGGAGGCTGTCACGCCAAAAATAAGCAGGGGGTGTTGTGTTCAGTTCCTCAGAAGCTTTAAAAGATGGGCTCGCTATGTTATTAGCTTCCTTCACAAGAGAACAAAGTACATATTGTAGACGCTTTCGGTCCAGAGACCATACTTTCAAATCTTTAATGTAAACAGACTACAACAACAGTTTGTTCTTTGAAAAGATTGCCTCGAGGCTCGTTTGCCTGGTTTGAAAACTGTCCAATCAGATGTGCATAGCCCGGATGCTGAATCCTGCGTGACTTTCGCTCCGAGTGGCCCTCCTAACCACATGTTGTAAACGCCAAGATAGCTCTTAATAGTGTGCGTTCAAGTCTTGGCAGTTGCACCGCGATATCTGTTTCTTTTCACCAATTTTAGTCTAGAAGTTGAGTTTCAGGGGGGCCCCTTGTGTTGGGAACACGTGTGCCGCCGAGCAGGACATGAAATCGGGGATGAGAGTAGCCATAAAGACTTAATGAGTTCATGTCATTCAAGGGTGTTGACAGATGAGACATTATCTGCTCGGTTATGGTGATTGACAAGGCTGGAGGCGAAGCAAGGGAAGCATCGCCCTGGTCGTAAAATGTTTTTACAGGGCTGGAGGCCTTTGGATGTACAGCAAACCCCCCTCTATTGCGGTGTATATACATTCAGAGACCATTTAGACAGAGAGACCATTTAGTTGTACCTCCTCCCTGCAGTTTGGCACATAGTCAGCAGTCAATCAAAAAAAAAAAAAAAAAAGCGGCTCAAGGTGTTTATCGCCATTCCCAGTTGACGAAACAAAATCAACGAAATAACACTTTGTGTATGTAAAGCACCACAGAAAGAAAACTCAGCAAAAATCTGAGATTTTTTTTTCGGCAAAATGATTTAATGTCACCATTTTTGTCTTTTGTTGTTAATTTGTTAATGTGTTTAAAAAAAATGTTTAAAAAAGTGCTAATGTCAGCCAATTGCATTGAAGTTTGAACACAAACGGTGAAGCAACACACATAGACAGATGTCTCCATTATGCTGCCCCCAGGTGGTCAAGATGGGATCAACTTAAGGAGCTACACCATGTCTATTGAACTGACGCAAAAAAAAAAGGTAAAACTGATTGTATTCAGTTGAACTATCTTTTTTTTTTTTTTTTTTTTTTCATGAAGTACAATACTATATTATGTTGCCTGTATTTGAATGGGAAGTCCTTCCACACTAAACGCAACCAAATTTAACTTGCTTAAAAGAAAATGACTTTCTGGAAACTGTCCCAACCAAATTGGAAACATAATTGTCCAAAGTGTCCAAATTAATTAACCTGTGCGTGTTTTTATATATATTTTTCCCCGTAGACTTGTTCACATTTCGTGGTTGAATGTTGAAAGTATACGCAACATAACCACATAACACACGCCGTCACTTCACCCCTTGTGCCTCAGTCCGCTCAGTAGAGCAGCAAAGTGCAGATTTTCCCCCTAAAGTGTGGAATATTTTTTTTTTGGGGAGGGGGGGGTGGACTCTGGACATAATTGGCTGTCAAAAGTGTCACAGAGTGAAGATGACATGAAGAGCGGCTTAATGTGCCTCAACGCTCATTTAGCAGTCAAACATAAGTAGTCGGAACACTTGTTCCCATTGAGATTGCCAAGGTTGTCTTTAAATACAGCTGTAACCATGACGCGCACAATTATATCTCCTGTACGCAGGAGTCAGAGGCTTAAATCCTGCGCCAGGCATGTGTCGGCGTGAAGAACGTTTCACCTTATTTAACAGGAAAATCTTGGCGTTTTCTTCAAACGGAAACATCGAGCTGCTTTGCGACGGCCTTGTAGCCTTTACCTTTAACCTCTTTGCGGATCATTTTATTTTCCGGTCTCCTCAGACAACCTTCGCTTCCTCTGGTCCATGTTTCCCGTGCTAGACTCCACGTCACAAAAACAACGCGAGCGAGGTATTAGCAATTTTGCCCACCAGTGTGCACAACACTCCGAGAGGTCTCACGATCCTCTCTGACTTTATTTAGCGCCAGAAGGGGATAAAATGTGAGGAAATAACGCTGTGTGGCAGCAAACTGAAGCGTCAATAAAAACTGAGCTTCATTTTCTTCGTGAAGGCCTCTTTCGCACTGGCTGGCCTCGCGTTGTGCACATCCTGCGGTGAATTCTTTGTTGCCTGGGACGTCTGCATAACAGCGGATGTCAGCGCTAAAATGAACTACGTTGAATTTACTCACATTAGAAGTTTGATCTGAAAGCAAGCAAGGCCAGAAATTGATTCCAGAACAACAACATTTGGAAAAGCTCTTGTCTCTGAGGCGGCGTGAGCCTCCCTTGAAGGCGGATGAAAGCCCCCAGTGCATAAATGTCACCAAAGTGATTATTTTCTTTTCTTTTTTTTTTTTTCTTTTCTACAAATGCTTTTTATTTATGTTCTCGTGGATGTGGGGTTGGAAACATGTTGCAGATGTGGAGGAAGTAAATACACGACATGACAATGGAGCCTTTTGAGAACAGTGTCGCTCATAAAAGCGGACGATATTTCAAGAGTGAGCCATTGGTTCGAAAGGTTTTTTGAAATTTATTTGTTTTTTAAGTGATTATTATTTTCCTTATCGGAGGCCAATCTTTCTCTGCCGCGGTTCCGGTTGTAAAGATTTGGATTTTTCAATGCGCCAAGTCATTCATAAGATGAGGTAAAAGAAAAGAAAATAGTTCGAATGTGCTTGTGAAATTTGTAGGTTTTTATTTTAATCATTTCCACTTAGTTTCATTGTAATTCAGTACACTGTAAACACACACACACACACACACACACACACACACACACACACACACACACACAACTTGTGTTTTATTGCGCTAATAGAGTCATTTAAGTTGGAACCACGGCTGACATTTATGTGTGCTTAATATCTTGCGTGAAGATTCATTCAGAACCGTCTGTGCTTTTCATTTCAGCCTTGGAAGAAGATGAGATCCGAATTTCAACACTCCAGCAAATGTAAGTAACTCAGAAATCCTCAAGGGGGCTCTTCACCCCCACGTTTCGTGCGGTGCGCCAAGCAAAGCTGTACAGCAGCCCACATAGCTACAGCAAAAAGTTCCACCATTTTGGTTCCTACGGTCCAGATTGCGCCTTTTGCTCCAGCAAGCCCCGGGCATCCCACATTTTTTTATTTTTTTGTATCGCTCACTGACGTGTACACCTCAAAACATTCATGAAGCCATTTCATCTTCTTGACAGCGTCATTCCCAATTAAATTAAAAGCTGCCAGAGATCTGACATCACACACGTATACTTTTACCGCTGAGGGGCCTACAAATGAAGTTGTTTTACTCATTATATATGTTGTTTTAATTCATCTGCTGATTAATTGGTGATCGTAATTTTATTCCGCTCTGAACTGGTTGGCGGCTAATCGCAGCCATGGAAGTGACATTGGCTCATTTTGAGGCAACAGACGAGCTACAGAAATGCCTATTTTATGGTTTAAGTGTGTGAATTATTTTTAAATCTCATTCACGTTTGAGACCCCCCCTCTCACCCCCACCGTAAATTAAGACGATCCTTTTTCATCATGGTCGCATCAACGGTCAATTTATAGCCTATTTGAGTTTATTTAATGTACTGTGTTAGTTTAATTGCATCCATTTGTAACGTCACCGTGGCTGTTTTTTATCCGGCGCAGACTCATTTGATCTGTTTGTAATTTGCATGGGAAACAATTGCGCCGAAGGCGGGCTGAGTTTTTGGAATGAAAGAATGATACACTTCTGAAAGTTTCTGTTCTTTTTGGAAAACACAAACAAATCACAGAAGGACGAAAAGAGAGTCACGTCGTGTTTGTGCTGACCTTGCTGATTGTGTTTGCTTTCAATCACACGGGTCAGGACGTGGGTCAGGCCCCATGGATCATTTACTTTAATGGCCGCTTCCTGCCTGCTCACACGCATGCGGCACATGGAGATGTAACGTTATTTACTTGACGTGACGCGGCAGCGATGACGCGGCCTCGCCAAAGGGAGGTTTGTGCAGATTGACCAAAAAAAAAAAGAAGGAAAGGAGGCTTCGTGTCATTTTGTGCCCTGTTGGGACGACAGATGTGCGGGTGATGTCATGTCGAAGGAGGGACAGGGCGGAGTGAGCAAAGCGCGGGAGGGCGGACGGATGAGGAGGAGCCTTCGTCCTGGAGTGGGATGAGCGAGGGAGGGGAGTGAGGGAGCGCCACATCCGCCATGGCTGTCACGTGACCGTTTCATAAGATGGCACCCGGCTTCCAAAGAACCTTCAGCTACCTTTGCAAACAACAAAGCAAAAGAGTTCCCTGCTCTTCTATGAGCAGCACATGCAGCAAATGTGCTTAAATGTTGTTGCGTTTTTTTTTTTTTTTTTTTTTCTTTCTTCATCGCAGGACCTTTCACAAAGCACATCCTTTCCAAACCACACAGACCGTTAGAGCTATAATTTACTTAGCGCAGTCTTTGCTGAAGTTTACCCTCCCATGCCGGGACGGGCCGCAGCATAAGAAGCCAATTGTTCTCTGGGTCTGTAGTGACAATGGCTGTTTGTAGCCCTCCGGGAGAGGGGGGAGAGAAGAGAGACAAGGGCGTGTGTTGGGGGGGGGGGGGTCAAAGGAAAGAAGGAAAAGGCAGAAAGGAGAGCCGTTTCATCCAAGTCATTTGTGCTGGTGACTGCTGGAGACACACGGTTACGGTCCACCGCCGAGATGCTGTTTTATGGAAGTCGATCTGTGTGATTAGTTAGTGGCACTGATTCGCTTGCAGTGACAGGCCGCGCATTTGCTACCCGGGCTCACCTGACTCACCCTACCTCTTAATTATTATGCCGCACAAAAAAAAAAAATCAATACTATACATGAAAAAACAACATCCACTTTTTAGCTCTTTGTTGACCAACAGTAGAATAATCAAACATAACACGCGGGAGCTGCTGTCAGCCACAGCTCACGACCTGGCGCTCACGTAGACTCGGGGAAAAATTTGGCCAACCTGCCTGCAGCTCGCCATCCTGTCAAATGTTATGCTTGCAAATATTGGTCCCTTCAAATGCATTCAGGGATGTGTTTAAAAATGTGTTTTAATGAGTTGGTGTGTGGAAAAAAAATCTTAATTAATTCTGTTAAAAATAAATAAATAAATAAACATTAAAATTTAGGAAAAATAAGTTGTACTAAAAGTAGTTTGAGCAAGATTCCCAACATGCAAGAATCAAAATCAAAATACTTAAAACTAAAACTAAATACAAAAAAATTCAATATCTAAAATAAAACACACTAAATAACACGAGTAACCAGGGGAGAAGCAAAGCAAATTTTCTCAATTCAAATCATGTCCAGCCAATCAAGTTAAGTTCCCTCGGTCATGTGACCCTGGCATTGGCAGGATAGGCAGCATTTAAAAAAAAAAAAAGTTAGGAATTCAAATTCAAACTCAGACGGCACAGCTGTATTTCCATCCTGTTTTCCCAACCGCCTCCAAAGCAGCCAGACGTCACCACTTAGAACCGTCTGAGCAACATTCAAGCAAATCGTGGCCAAGGGGTCAAGGGTGACCACAGACACCTCACAGACGCCGCTTTACTGCATCTCCTCGACAGGACGTCGCCTGCATCAGTGTGGCCAGTGCTGGCATTGGTGCATTTGAACCACACTGAGATGTGGGGTGCTCTTACGGGCCCATTGCAGGAAGGTGCATGCAAAAAAAGAGCGCCCCTCTCTCTGTGTGTGTGTGTCTCCGAGCTTTGAGGTCAAGTGCAAAGCGGCGCTGTCATTGATTCACTGAACACGAGGCAGCCTTGCATCCAAAGGAGTCCAAAAGCTAGCAAAACAAAGCTCCTTGAGCCTAATTTGCACAACATTCAGCATGTGATTGGCCCGGGCCATTTTGGCCTTTAAAGAAGGAAAAAAAAATTGAGAGTCACTCATAATTTAAAAAATATATGTATTCATATATATTTATAAATGTATAGCAATGTATTTTTCTATGAAGATAATATTAAAAGAATCACAAGTGTAGTCAGGACATGTTTAATGTGTCATCAAATTTAAAAAATGAATATAAAAATCATAAATTAACATTTAAATAAACACTCGATCAAAAACAGCTTGAAAAGAGGCGCCGGGCTCCTTTTTTTTTTGTCTTCCAAAAAAAAAAAACCTTTTGGAGACTTTTTTTTTTTTTTTTTGAGAGAGAGAGAGAGAGCGAGAGAGAGAATGCTGGAGCCAAAACCAATCACTCGAGGCATCAGAAAAGTTGCGAACTAGCTCCTCTCTTATTTTCAGCCATGTCACGAGTCCACGTGGAGCACGTCAGCCATTTTGAACAACAGCAAATCAACTCGATGAAAAAGATGCGGCCTGAACTCACTCTCCCCTGGGGGTCTGACCTGCACTTGAGGACAATCCAGGCCTGGCTGGGTAATCATTGACCTGTTCCCCGTGGCAATCAAGTCACAACATACTGTACAACAACTGGGCTGTCGATAATAAAGTGATCATATCTCCACAGGTGCATGAACCCAATCAGACAGATGAGGATGTATCACATTTCAGACCAGAAATTTCAACACGGACCTCCGTGATATGCACTGTGCATTTTCGTTATCACCGTTACTCAGTGGTGGGTCATACAGGTGAAATCGACATGGCAATGCATAGGTGCTGAAATATGATTGGGGAAAAAAAAATTTTTGCAAATAGACAATCATCTCAGAAGTTGTTACCCCCTGGATCAGATTTCAGTCGGGGTCGCACACCGGGCTGGTCCCGGCTCAGTTCTGCACAAAATCGATCTTTTAGTGGTGCAAGGTGGGGCGTGCGCCGCACTGCAGCACTGCTTTGTAGCGGGGCATGCAAAGGTAAAAAAAAAAAAAGTGGAAGGAGCTGGGTGGGATGGGAGGCGGCAGTTTGGCCCTTTGCAAGAGCCACCTCCCACTTCTCACTTTTCCACACCTCCTCACTCCCCGGCCATTTTCGCCTCCTCAAGCTGTACTCCTCCGTACTCTCTCCACTAACTCCGGCAACGAGCCTATGGCCTGAAATTCAACTAAAAGGGGCCTCGGCTGCCTCGGTTCGAGCTTAATGTTTCTTCATATGACTTGATAATTATAGTGTCAATCAAAATTAGACTCGGTCCTCTTCCTGATACAATCTTAATTGATGGTATGAGTGAATAAAGTGAATCACATGGGAGACTGGTGGCTTTTTAGGTGTGCAGCTTATAAGAGTAAAACGCCACCGATGATAATAAACCATCAATTGTTTATTCGAGTGACTTTCCACACTTTTGCAACTTTTCTTAATTTTTTTCCCCCCCTCCGTGTAGTTTTTATTTAAATAAACCACAAAACAGTCAAGTTAGAGAAGTACAGTATAAGTTTTGCTTGGTTTCCCTAATTTACATTAATTAGAAAACCCACCATCCAGAAATGAATTTAAATCCATTGACTTTTATAAAAGTACACAGTGAGTATTATAGACAAATCCATCTCAATTCTTTTCATAACGTAAGATTAAATTCTTTAATTTTAAATGGACATACATCAGTGTGTTAAGTATTGGGTGAAATATATAAATAGTATAAAATCTCATCTTTAAAGTATGTTTGAAAAATACGTGAACAAAATCAAATGAAGTGAATCAAATGTAGAAGTGCTGGTGTACAAATGGTCAAAGGTCTCCCACTTCTCCTACTTTGTTTGGTTTTGGAATGAATTAGCACACACTAGTTCATGACATTATTTTATATCTCAACATTAAGTAACAGCAATACACATTTTCATATGTTCATTTGGAATTAATTTAAGTTTTGACAGGGAACTCGAGGCTTCCACTTTAACTGAGGGGCCGGCAAACACAGGTTTGTCGTTCTTGCACACACACTTCAAGTTATTTAAAAAAAAAAAAAGCGAACAAAAAAAAACATTCCAATCAATCCTGTCAACCGTTAATCCCTTTAAACTCAATAACCTACATGCTTTATATTGACTAGTCGAGACGAGTATACACACTCACTCTCTCTCTCTCACACACACACACACACACACACACACACACACACACACACACACACACACGCTTAATCCTATCATAAATCTATGTTTTTGATTACCGTAAGCACAAAACATTTGTTGGTACCATACTAATCAATACCTTACTTAGGTGTAAATAGGATTTTAGCTGCTGCCCCATTTATTTAAGTCAATTGTTTTACTCGATAGATGGACAGATTGATAGAAAGATGCACTGTAGCTACTTTATTGATCCACAAAAACATTTGGCATAGCAGTCTTGCTATTTTACTAATATTAATAAAGATATGAAAAATATTAAATAGATTAGATGTCAAACAGTGGCTAAAGACTTTAAGGATATAAACATATCAAACATTTATGTTACTTTCCTTTTTATCCCCTATTACACTACATAAATACAAAAATAAACAGATATGAAATTTAAAAGTTTTAGTTTAGGACACTATAAAACCAATAGTTCCTTTAGTTATTCTGAATTAAGATTATATGGTTAGGTGTTTGTTTTTGTTATGGGTTTTATTATTATTATTATTTGGGTGTTAAAAAATTGAAGTTTGGATTTGAATTTATATTTTGAAAGGGGGTCCTTGGTAATATGTAAAGTTTGCTTCCCTGGGTTTTTTTGATGTCCTATATTATGCCTGATTGTTATGGTAGATTAAAAAAAATATAGCTTTACCAAATATTTAAACACGTTTTAATGTATTTGTAAAAACTATTGTCATATGTGCAATTGATGTGACTGTTTGAGAAAAAAATTCTTGTTCACCTTAAAAAAAAAAAAAAAAATAAGAAGGAAAGAAAGGAAACAACATCATTATCAGGTGCATATCACCATCACTGCCTCAATTAGGACCCAAAATCAGTTCAGAAGGTGAAGTTTGTTCTCCAAAGACGACATTTTGGCAAGTTTTGATAACCATATTTATGGGTTGATAACTTATTTTTCGTGTGTTTAGGTAAGCCGAAACTTCATTAAATGTTCATCAACTTTTTATGAAACACGTGGCGGTAATTAACACGGGTTCACAGACTTGTGGAAATCCAGTTTTACTCTCCTCTCGAAGCTACTTAGCCAAACCGAGCTAAGTAGCCAACAATTAATTAATTTTTATATTTAAATCCTTTGTATCTTCAAAGCCACGTAAGTCATACACACGCATATTTGCCGGTTAATTCTGTCTTCACAGTAATATTTTAACGTGGGTAATCTTCAAAGAAGCTGTTTGCCTTTCACTTGATGAAAATGACATACAAAAAAAAAACCGGCTACAATCGATTTCAATATCTTATATGACCGTATTGTGTTTTTAAAATCAGCCTGACGTTTGGTTATTTTCGCGTCAACGTATAAGCTTTTAGTTATTATTTTTGGGCACAAAGCTGGCATAAGGCAATATCAAATAGTGCCTTTTTTCTATTCGCGGAAGGGGCGAAAAGGAGGGGGCGTGAGGCACCGAGTCAACCCTCAATAATCATCTCAACGCAGCCTACTTTATGCTGCTTTTACAACGTGAAGTGTCTTTTCACTCGTTTTTTTAATTACACCCCCTCCTCTCCTCTGCTGTCTATAACAGACATTAAAACAAGCGGGTTTCGATGGCTGAGCGGGAGCTGCTTGTGTAACGCGCTGCTTTTCACCTCAGCTGAACTTGACGCATCTGCTTGAGCGGCGGGCACAGGACGCGCCGTGTCCCCGCTGAACCGAGCAGCCGTGGCCGGGGGAGGAGGGAGCGGCGAGCGGCGTCACCATTACCCGGCTGCCGTCTCTCAACACGGACACTTTTCCCCTCCTTCCTTCAGCGTCTGGAACGTGTCTTTGTGAGACGAGAACGTTGGACTTGAACGTGACACCTTCGGGTATGTACTTTCTCATTCACTCTCTTCCTGGTTTGTTTATTTTGTGGTGTCGAAAACAGGACAGGCTCATAAATTACTGCAGGTGGTTGAACCTTCTCGAGTTCAGCACACAAATCCCTTGCAGAAATAGGACCTTTTAAAGGTAAATTTTCGCCCTGGGCGTGATGTGCCAGAGTTGCGACTGGCACACATCGAATCCTCCCCTTTGTTGTCCGCTCGAAGCAAGCTCGACAGGGTAGCCGCTCACAAGCACGTCAGCGCGAGGGGAAGCACTGTCAGACGAACCTCTGGTAGGAGATGATGAGAAAAAGTGGTGAAAAGCCATGACCGATGATTCACCTATAGTCACATATGGTCCAGGAGTGTGGTTTCCCCCGATGTGTCACTGTGGTTTCCCTCTGCAAGAGGTTTTTGATGAAAATTAATTCAATGAAATGCGAGCTGGAATAGCACAGCTGTGGCTGGATGAGATTTTTTTTTTAACCGTTAATAGGCCTGCGTGGGCTGCTTGAATTCATTCTCAACTTTACACAAAAGTCCCCCAAATATAATAATATTGATCCTAGTGATGATTGGGAAGGAGTCATGATGGCTTTTACAGATAAAGGGACATTTAAGAAGTTAGCCTTTTATCTGAAAAAAAAATCACTTATGCTCATAAAGGGCAGTTGCGTAATTTTCCCTTTAAAGCTTGTTGACACGTTGCTGTGGCTGATGTCACCCACTTAAATATTTGCAACAGTCATAGCACACTTGTCGCTTGATTTTGTAGATGCCCATCTGCCCCTATAGGTCCATGCCCCTGGGATTCCCAAGAAACAGATCCAGCGACTCACATTTTCACTGAAAGCAAGGAAAGCGCGCTCCTTTGGGGCGCCCACGCTCTCATGTGATGTTAATACCCTGACTGCTTGTTTACAAAGCAAACTCGCTGCTATAAACAAGAAAAAAAATGCCATTGCGCCTTCGAGAAAATGGAGCAGCGACACAGGTGGCAGGACAATGCCTCCGTGAGTTAATTGCTCACCGGACAGTCAGTGGCACACACGGGGGGCAAGCACATGGCGGTGGAGTGAGAACTGGCAGTCAGAATTTTTTTACCCGGTTCTGAGCCCTTGAGTGACCCAACATGGCTGAAGAGAGCGGCTCGGAATTACAAGGATTTTGCTCAGGTTCGACACCATTGATTGAGCGCCGAGATGGCGAGATTAGTCTCATTTCAAATCCGCCCCTCTATGAAGAGTTGATTGGATGTGCTTGGCAATGTGGCGTGTTGTTCCTTGCAGGGTTTTTCAGGCCAGAGGGCAGGACGTGGCATTCGGGGGGATTTTTTGGGGCACGGGTTAGGCCATTGCAGCTGATATTGGCGTGTAATATGCTCTGATGTCCCAAATGAGGTCATTTAAGGTGCCTTTTAGTCGGTCTTTTATGTATTGAAAAGCCATCTTGTCTTCTCACGGACAGAGAGGACTGTTTTTCAACTTTGATTTCAAGTCGGCATACTTTATGAATGTGTGTGCATGCCTCCGCTGTCCTGACTAAACAGTTGCCGTTTTAAATCTGCGTTCATCTCCGTGCAGGGTACTTAAGTGCTTGACCTAATTTCTCCGGCAGCAAAGAATCCACCAGTGAAGGCCTCGCTCTGTGTGTGTTTGTGTGCGCATGCGCGTGTTGCTTTGGGTGTTTCCTCTTTGCCTTTCTAACAGGAAGCTGCTGTGGAGTTCAACCGAGGACAAGGAAAAGGCCTTTTCTTTCCACTGTGAATCATTTGAGAGTGAGAGCGAAAGACACAGAGAGAGGAGAGTGAGAGAATACTGGCCAAAAAAAAAAAAAAGACACAGAGGGGGCTAAAGAGAGCGAAAGAAAGCAGGCTTCGGCATTGATTCGGTCCTCGGCAATCTGTCCTTCCCTTACTAGATTTCCGATTGCCTCTCTCCTTTTCTACACCCGTTTTTTTGGGTTATATGCCCTTCGTCTTGCAGGAGAGACGGCGGCGTTCAGCCGGGGAATGTGCAGGTTTGTGGAGAGTTCATGAGTCCTGTGAGAAGATGGGGAGGGGAGAGGAAAGGAGAGACGAAAAAGCAAATGAAGCGGACCACTGTGGGGAGCGGTGCAGGTTCTTCCGGTTTAGTTTAAACATGAGCGCAAAGAGGCTGGCTGCCCGACATGCCCGGAGGCACGAATGAAACCGTGCCAGTGGCTTTATTAAGGCCAGTGAAGAGTCCCTCTATGCCTTCAATCGGCGATAGCACGGAGAGAACAAATTGCTGCATTCCCATCGCTATAAATAGCAGATAAACCGCTTTGAGCGGCGTGAGCACCGGATGAAATATTAAAGTCGGCTTCCACTCAGAGCAATACCGAAGAGCAGGATAAGTGGGGTTTGCGTCCCTCGTCTTGTTACGGGCATGGGAGCCAATGAGCGCCCCCCTTTTTTAAGGGCAATTCTCTTGCAGTTCGGTGCAGTGCTCGGAATCACATTGGGGCAATTCCACAAGTAACGTGTGGCATATTTGAAGCGCAAGTTGCGACAGTGCCTTGTCAACCTCAAGAAGGTCATTGTTGTCAAGGCTGTGCTGGACATACCGCAGTACTGCAGAAATATTCCAAAATACATGTTTTTGGGGAACACGCTTCCCTCGAAATAGAATCGAATCGAATAGAAAAGTGCCATGTCATTTTCCAGCCCTTGATTGTTTTAACCGCAAGACCAGAAGAATAGAGTCCTTGATTACAACAGACTCCATTCGGTTTTCTCTTGTACTATTTATTGTCGATAATAAAGCAATAATGGAAAAAAAAGACATGAACCCGATTTGCTGTATTTGATGTTTGGTGTGTGGAATACGAAAATGTTACAAATGGAATTTGGAGGGGAAAAAACATGTCTGTGTTTATAAGAGCTATAAGTTGACGAAAAGCAGCAATGTGATCCGGTGCCAGACAACACTTACATGTTCCAGCAGGAACGCCGTGTGCTCAGCTTGCACCCACATTCTGACGGTCACTCGCTGTTTGTCTCGCTTCAAAATCCAGAACTTGACGACCCGTCGGCATTCCTCACTTGTCGGAGTTTTCAGCCCACTTTTCTGTGTTTGCCGCAGGGCCACCAGAGGCCACGAGCACCCTTGAGAGCAGAAGGAAGCCGTCGGACGCTGGGCAAAGGGTAAGTTCCTCTTCATACGACACAGACTCAGCAGAGTGCCTTGTTATAAAGCACCAGTTTTAAGCAAAACGGGGAGCACAGTGAATCAAATTTGAGCAGATGCTGCAGTGTAGTAGAGTGCAATTTTCAAATTGTTTTTATTTGTTTACATTTTTTATTTATTTGGTGCCGACATGCCTTAGCATTATCCTAATGTGACTTTTTTTGTATAATAGCTCTGATATTGTGTGTTGTGTTTCAGATGAATTGGTTGCTTATGTAAAAAAAAAACACACACATATGGGGATAGGTCACAATTACCAGTAGATTGTTTTTCAATTTCGTTTTCGATATCATTCAGCACCGCCTTCAAAGTGTGGTAAATTAGAAACCAAGATTGTAACTGGTATTATTTGCCATATGGGATTAAACTTATGTTTCACTTTGGCAGAGCACATTATTAATAGAAAGACTTCCACATAGTGGGTGGTGTTTGTCGTTTTTATTTTCCTCCATGATCAACATGACGTCCTCTTGGCCTCATAAATCCAAACGCGATGTCGCTGTCGTGGACTCGACGCAGTTTGACACTGTGGTTTTGAGCGCTTTATTGACTCGCGCGCAGCTGTGGTCATCCGCCGGCTGGCCGAGGCTCGCGTTCTGCAGATTCATAACTTGTGCTGCGTGAAGTGAGGTGGGCGTTAGACATGTGACTGCTGAAGCAGTCTACGAGGGAAGATTTGCAGGAGGATGATCATTCACCATATCCATTCCAATAGAAATTTTGTTGAGTTAAAAAGAAAAAAAGAGGACAGCGATAAAATTTGTCCCACATTGTCACATATAAGCACAGGACGATGAGCTTGTTAAATGTTTTTCGGGAGGCTTTGCCTCAGGAAATGCTTTTGACAGAAAAGGGACAGGCAAGGGAGCTCCAAAACATGTTTTTCATGTTCCAGCTGGCCAAAATCAGAGAGCTACTTTAAGGTTTTCCTCATGACCCGCTGCACACAAAATCTACTCCCGTCCAGAAAGAAAAGGTGGAAATCAACTTTTGGAACCGCTTTCTGTTGCCTTAAAATATGCTTTGACGCAGTGCTCCGGCGGCTTCGACAATGCTTCCTGCTGTATTCACAAACAATCAAGTGTAGTGTAACTGCAGCAGATATTGTACATTTTAAAAAGCCATACGCTGCTTGCTTTCACGCAGTTATCTTCTTGTGACGTGCAAGCGTCTTGCTTTTAATTTGAAAGCACCTTTTAAATCTATCAGTCAGTCTCCCAGGCGCTCCACGTTCACGCCAATATGATCATGATAGAAGACAAAGAGGGAGGAAAAAAAAAGTTTCATTTCAATGCCGAATTACAAACAGAACACACAGAATTATTCATGAGAACAGGATGTCGATAGAAGGACTTGCCAAGATGAGTTTTTCAACGCCACTTAAAACATTCCAAATAGTCCGCAGACCTAATCGATTGAGGGACGGCGTTCTGCAGATTTGGTCCTCGAACTGCAGACCCGCAGTCACCTTTCTGTCGGGTGAGGGAAAGATAGCGAGCGGAAATGAGAGGAGCAAAGCCGTCCAAAGTGCGGCGACTGAGGAACCAGAGGACACGAGACTTAAACACAATCAGGAGAATCTTAGACGAGCAAGTGAGTGGCCGAGTGCATCTGACACCGGTTTGAGGGTTTGTTTGTTTTTTTTTTGGTGATGAAAATTCTAAGGCATAACTCCCAGGCATGTATAAATCCAGCCAAGAGAAAATAAACACGGTGGACAAATTTAAGGACTGTTCATGTCATTTTTGGCAGCGTTGTTGACGGACACTAACATGACTGAACAAGCTCAGTATCACAATTCTGTCTTGCACATGTACTGATCCTTTGTGGATTTAATTTATTTCCAGTTGTTTTTTTTTTTTTTAACCCCCACTCTTTTCAGAAGGAGAATCACACCGCCCGCCTTTTTTTTATTTTCCTTTAATTTTTTCTTCATTTTGGGGAGTCAATCCTAAAACAGAAATCCGAAATTCATCCACACTCTTGTACGAATGCGGTCCGCAATCATCGAGTGCTATGCCCTCCTGTTGAAATCCATCCCACAGACTAAAAAAAACGCTATCACAGAAAATATTGAGTCACTTGGAAAAGCTGCATCTTTAATGTTTCACGTCAAATTGATGTATCGGGCATGATTGAAATATGTTGGACTTGACCCCCCGCCTTCCTCCATTTTATCAAATGATCTCCTTGGCAGTCCACTGCTTGGATCAGGTGTTCTCCAGATGTGCTGGAAAAGAGACATCCTCGGGCTCCTATCAGCTATTTTGTGGAGGAGCCGGAACCAGAAAGCCCTCCCAGGAGGCTCGTGTGCTGTACACTGTACGAGAGGCGAACACTGCTGCCATTGCTTCTCATTTGCTGTCTGATGGCTAAAAAGAAACAAAACGATGGCGGTCGTTTTGCCCATTTAATTGGCTTGAAAGCCCTTAGTCTTTTTCTTTCTTTTTTTTTAAAGCTTACTCCTTTTTTAATTTATCTTGATTTGGCTTAATGAAACCCAACTGTGCACTTTGGGATTATTTGTTGCCTTTTATTTGAGCTTTTCGGATGTTTAATTCAAGAGGGAGGCTGGTCTTTCTCATCTCTGCTTTCTCCCTCCCTTCATAATCTTACGTAGCCTTCCAGTCTTATTTCCTCCTAATTTCCTATTCGATACTCTGTGGGCAGAAGTAGATAGGATGATGTAACGTGCACCTTCGGGGACACGCTTGGTATCTTTGCTAAAATCCCCAAGTAGTTTTACGGCACATCGGATGTTCAAATTTTTGTTTGTAAACAGGATCCAATTAGGATTTATTGCAAGGTAAATAATATGCGGTGGTGTTTCAGCCCTAAGAGGGTTTGCTACGCACCATCCAGCCAAGATGAGCTCTGCCGTGGTTGAAATGATCTCTCCCCCTTGCTGGGACCAACCGAGTGCTCGGCCACTGCAGCATTGTGCGTGTGAACAAGTCGGTGCCATTTGCATTTGTTCCTGTCACCAAAAAGTAACAGGTCAATAGGGTCAAAACTAACAGACCGGGGTACCTATTTTTTTTTTTTTTTCAGTCCACTCCTCTTCGTCTCTTTCAGGCGACATACCTAGTAGTAGTTGTCTGAGGTAGTACAGTATATGTTTAAGCTCCTATTGATACACCGCAGTCGCTGTTACTTTGCTTCCAGGTTTGAACAGCTCAGCCTTTTCTGCGTGGAGTCTGCATGTTCTCTGCGCTCCGGCTTCATCCCACAGACCACAAACACGTATGTGAGCTTTAAGTCAATGCCAGCTGGCAAAAAACGTTCTTTAACTCTGCCCGTTTTTCTCTCCCGTGGAAACAAAAGACATTTTCATTCTCCCATTTCGCCCATGAGCGCTGTAAATGTTTTGAGCGGTGACATTTGCCGTACCTCAGGCAGCTGTTCAGCCGCGTTTGCGGAGGTCGAGAGGCCGGGCGGCTAAACAAACAGCACGTGGGCAAGGTGAGCTGCAATCGCCGATGCACTTTTAGATGTTGATCGAATGGGGGAGAACAGTCAAACAGGTACGAAATGAGAGCACCCGCAATGGGGCTGCCATAGGCCAAAACGCAAGCCCAGGAGGCTCACACGCAGACCCACTTGCTCCAATCCTTGACGTCACTCACCAGGCTACACCCCTTAAAGGCACACGTCGACAGCGCGTACAGTAATTGCACTTGGTATTAATTGCGAGGTTATCCCAATCACATTTTGTTGCACTGGAGTCCAAATCCCTCTGCAGTGCGCGAACAGAGCGTTCAGAGAATGCTCCAAAACAAAAGTGCTTACTCGACTTGACTGTACGTCTAGAGCAGCAGTTGTCGCTTTCCAAGTTCAAATAGTTGCAAACTGCTGACATTATCCCTGTCCCAAGACGGCAGCTTCACGTTTGCGCAATCCGCTAGTTAGAGGAGGCCCCGTACAATTAATGTTCCATGAATGTTCCCCGGCTCCAGTAACCTGTGTTAACTTCAGCTCCTTCCTTCCTGCTTGTGTAACAATGAGCGCCAATGTTGTTGTGCAGTCGTTGAGGTCCGTTATTTTCTTTTAACGCTGTTTTTACGGTACATGTATGCAACGCCGTTTTGGGAGGCCAAATGTGATGGCGGCCGCTTCTATTGTACGTTCTTCTTCCCTGAAATACGTTCCAGTTCTCACGGCCTTTGTCCCGAAGCAAAAGTTCTACCTCGTCCTCCACACAAAAAGCCTCTGTGTTCATAATGTTTCAGACTTGTGTTTATGGACTCTAAAGTAGCCAATGAAAATGCACTTTGGTGAGTCACCAGGGAACCAAATCAGGATTCCTGTAAAATAACATTATAGAAAGTCAGACGCATTTTTTTTACGACAACAGTGGCACGAACAGACCCCCCCACCGCGCCGATGTGGCACACATTGCCTCCTCGGATTTATTGGCCAAACGGAAAATCCACCCCCGTTTTGGCGTGTGCCGGGTGCAATTTTGGACCACGTGCGTGGTTGTGTAAAAGACAGCACAGACTTTCTGATCGGCGACTATTAACACTACCAATAAAAGTTGTAAGACAATACACGGCGATATGTGAGTGCCAATTCCACCTCGCTGCGACTGCGATGCCAGGGATCCGTGTGACTGCAGTAACCCTTTGCTCGAACAGTCTTGACTTCTATTGTCCGTGGCCTTTATTCACAAAGACTACATTGATGTTGGACTGTTTGTACGATTGCGATGTGTCATTTGAGCCTCTTCTGAAATTCTTTGAGCCTCTTCTGAAATTCTTTGACCATTGTAGACACTTTTTTTTTTTTTTTGCGTGAAACAAGTCTTTTCAAAATGTAAAAAGCAGCTAACATCATCCCGCAGAAATACTGTATATTGTTCAGACTTAAAAGTGTCATCGTCCGAAATAAAAAGTCCAGTGATTTATATCTCTCACACAAAAGTACAGTTCCTGTGGGGAATCTGTTTGAGATCGCTTTTAGAATGGCTGTTTTTCTCATCATCACAAGATGGTGAAAACTCCCAAGCTGTCAGCGCACTTTCTTGTACGTGTAATTACCTGTATTAAGGTTCTGGAGGTTCCATTCAAATATTTTCACATCTTGATGAAACACCAGTTTGCTAATTTGAGCGTGAGCTAGCAAAAATTGCCTCTTGACACTCACTGTACAGCGGTGGTGGTTTTAATTTTTTTTTTTTTTTTGTGCCAGCTGGCATGTTCGAGGGGAATATCAAGAGGCAGCAGAATCGTCTTGTTCAAGCTGCATTGTGACTTAGAGGAAAAGGGAGCCAGTATGGACTTTCATGTTACTATTTTCTCTCCCGAGTAATGCATCTGCTGCTCATGTGGCTCACATGGGGCTTTCACAGTCCTAAAAATAATTGTGGAAATGTATGGGTTTTATTTTATTTATATAATTTTTTTGCAACAACTGCAGGATTATTTGTCCTATTTTCATGAAGGGTACTTATTGCAGAACATTAAGCCATTGCTCTTGAAATAATACAGGTCCACCACAGCCTTTCTAGCCACTTGATGTGCGTTTTCCAGCTCAGTCGGGGCAGCGGGGTGTCTCGGTGCTCGCAGAACTTGTCCTGCATTTAAAATGTCAATCGCTCCGGCCACGCTGTTGAGCGGTCCTCACACCGAATGGCCTCCGCCCACCTGCCAACGACTCTGCAATCACAACAGCCTCCACCTGAGTGCTCACACGAGTGATCGCACTGTTCGAATGTGCGGCGTCAGGCTCTCGATGCCGTGCAAAAACCTCCCTCCATAAAGCTTGTTTTTGCCATTTGGGTTTTACTGACATGTGATCACTTGCGAAAAAAAAAAGAGAAAATAGATCGGCGACACGGCACATAGTTGAGAATTCCCACAGTGAAATTCCAATTTGTGTTGTTGTTTTCCTTTAATTCTCGGGGAAAAAAATCATCTTTGTATATTAGAACTGAAGATCTAGGAGATTTTATTTTTGGGGACAATTCTGCAGTAGCATACCGGACTTGTGGGAATCGAAAAAAAACACACGAGTGCTCATATAAAAGCAAGCATTGTGTAAACTGCTTTGGCATTAATGAATTCCATGATAGTAGCTGTTCTGCATAAATTGGAGTTTTTATTAATATTGCAAAATTCCACACAGCTTGTTGTATTTCAGGATGTATTTGATACAATATACACACGATCAAAAGATTCTTAATTGCTACAGCAATGCAAGGCAGGTGACTTCGACTCATAGTTGTTGTTTTTTTTTTTCTTTCTGAAGAGCACAGCTTTCAGCCGTCCCCTCTCATGCTGCTCCGAGCCGGCCATTCTCTTTGGAAGAATAGCGATGTGCGAGCCCCGCTTCAGGTGCCGCAAGCTGCTCGCCAGGCCCGCAGCCAGGGCCCCGAGAGCCAGACCTGGCAGCTCTGTGGCCGCGACGTGTGAAACGGCGCGCACACAAAGGAGCTCGCTCCATCTGTATGCACCCTACATAGGCAGGCTTTTGTTGCAGCCGACAGGCACATGACTGCTAGCATCTTAACCCCTGAGAGCCAGCGTCTCTCTCTCTCGCCATTCTCGCTCGAGCCTGCGCGCTGCTGCAGACGCCACCTTGAGTTGGAAGAAGCGACACTTTGAGGCGGAGGGGTCGTTCTTCTCAAGAAAATGTTTGACGAAACACAAATCAATTTTCCGAAGTTTGGTCAATCGCAGGGATAAAAGCCATGATTTCTTTCAAGCCGAAATGACATTGTTTCATGAACTGGACGAGGGGGTGACATATTTTTAACTTCAAATATCGAGGTCAGGCTTGAAAAGCAGAACCGGCGAACAAAAATAAACCAAAAAAGGTGCGTTGTGCGCATTCACACACAAAATCTATTCCAATTTAAACTTCCTGTGCAGCAGAATTCATTTCTCAATGTTGCAGGGAGGAGTAGTTTGGGTTTTTAACGGACAAATATACCTTCCCGAATATGTCATCACAGATTAAAATGTTAGTAGTCCTATAAGAAGGGTTGGATAAAATTCCAATTAAAAGCTAAGCGGCTTGAGGGATCTTGTCAGCGCGCTTCATTTTTTTAATTTGCTTTGTCACTGTTCCTAAAGTCGAATGTCCATCCGCCAGCACTCTCTGTTCCCAAGACTACACGATTAACCTCAAACCACATCAGAAACGCGACGGAAAATGCTCATTATTTTACCCGTCTGAAGTGGGAACTGTTGCACACATGAGCAGGTTCTGCAGGTTTCATATTGACATATTGTGTGTTTCTGTGTCACCCAGATGACTCCATGCACAATATGAAACCAAAAAAAATAGCGTTTTGATACAGAAAGGCCACGGCCGGATGATACAAACAAGCTGTCACTTGTAGTCGGCGTTGCAGGAAGAACAGAGCGTGTCCCATTTGCTGCATAGATTCAACACGGTTTCCTCCCGCGCCACCTTCCTTGTGTCGAGTGTGCGTGTATGATCCCGATGGGGGCGGGGGACTGAGGTGGGGGGAGCAGGGCTGTGATCTGGGCCAAGCGAGGTCACGCAGGCCCCGTCCAGGCTGCGCTGTGACGTGGCATCGAGCTAGAACCAACAGCAGGTCCGAATCGGTTTTAGAGGGCGCACCACACCCCTGAGCGTACCAGAGGCGCGAACACCAGCTCTGATCAGGTCGACCAAGACCAAGTTCGGGAAACGTGTGCCGTAAGTCACCTGCGTCTCAAAGCTTGTGCCGGAAAGGGAGTGTTTCATTTTCATATTACAGTCATCATGAATTACTTTTTTTGCTGTTGTTGCTATGAAGAGTGAGTGGTGTTATTGTTTTGTTACAGCCCTTGACTTGCCATGCAGGAAACTTTTGTGCACCAGCATTGCAGCATATTTGGATGGCTGCAAGTGACACTCCAGCAAGACGCAGCGTGAGTGTTGGTTTACTTTTTTTGCAATGCCACGAGAGAAAAGGGGCAAGAGCAGTCCGCGTAGCCTCCCTGGATAAATATTCATGTCATGATGGCTATTGAATTGCATGTCGAAATTGGGAGTAGCATGTGAAGTTACTGTTGTCTTGCCAAGAAAGGGTGGGGGGGGGGGGGTTCATGGTTAAAAAGTAGATGACGATTTTCCTAAAGCACTGCCTTAAACGAGGGCAGAGCTGCAAAAAGAGGGACGAGCTGCGAGGATTTATCGCCCGTTCGGCATTTTTATAAGCTACTAAAGGACACTTGTTCCGAGCAAGCGCAGGCCCCGGCGTCCTTCTCTCCCCTTTTCCAAACTTTGCCGGGCTCTCGCCTGCCGCAGAGAGAGGCTCGCTTCCCCCGGAGGTGAGTGGCTTCATCATTGTCAAAGTAATTCTTTTATTGGGGAAATAACACATCAATAAGAAACTGTAGGCGTACGCTGAGCGTGGAACAATTTATTATAAATGTGTTCCAAGGTGACTTTCATTGCAAAGGCTGTGCGAAAAGGAATCTTTGTCATCCGTCTCCAGAACGACTGTGTGCAATAATATGGAGCAGTTTGGCTCAGTAAACCTTTGGAAAATGGCGGACGGGAAATCAGCCGACTGTTTTCGCCGTTTTGTGTGCAAGAGTTAAAACATTTCCCTGGAAATGTATGCAGCAGCAAAATCCAAAATGCGCTCTTATCAGAAATAAAGAGGTTGACAAGAAACTCTTAAATGGCAACACTCGGTTGCGTTTTATTCTTTTCAAAGCTTCTCTAATTATAAAGTTGCATTTTGGTTCATATGTAACTTGAAAACTGTTTTTTAAAAAAGTTAAGAAATGGACCAGAGTAATTATTTTCTTTAAAAAAAATGTATTCAATAAAAAGAGCAAATAATTCTCAATGAAACTTTTAGCCTTGCATGTTAAAACAATACTCTGCTGGGCCATTTGTCTTTTCTTTGCATATTTTAATTCGCAATATTTGTGTTGCCCCTCTGTATTTATATATTGGAGTTCAGTCATTTTTTTTTTCTTGCTCTTATGAAATTTACATTTCCACAGCTTGCAAACAGAATAGTGTAATTTTTTCAGGCAAATAAATACACGATTGTAATTATAACAGAATCCCGATATAAAATTGGCACATGTACCTTGTAGGTTTAATTATCTTCAGTTTGCTTACAGAGTGACTGAAGGAATTATTTTTCTTTTTTTTTTGTTTTTACCCTTTATGTGCCATATTCCTTTGCTGCAGGCATTTGTTTGTTTGTTTTTTCTTGTTTGTTTTCTTGAAACAATATTCCGAAATGGTGTGGAGAGAGGCTGCGTCACTCAGGCCGCCATGTTGTCTCTTCGTGTCCTCCATTTTGTGCTGCTGACTCTGTGGGAGCTCAGCTGCTTTTATCAAAGTTTTCTCGCAACTTGGGCCTGGCTCTTTATCAAAGCTTTTTAAGACATCTTATTAGGAGCTGTCTGCCCTTTTGATAGATTTATTTTCATTTATTTTATTTTTTTTTTTGCCCCCTCTGTGAAACGCTCGCCCGATGCCAACCTTAATGAACAAGTTGAAAACTTGCCTTAACAGGTAAACTTCTCAGGATCTCAACCGCCTCCTTTCTACTCCTAAAAGAATTTGTCAGTGTTATCAACAAGAGGTCGCGGGGAGCATTAGCCTCAATTGCTATTGCGGCATGAGCGCGCTTGACCTTTGGGGCCCGATTATGGCCGCCAAAGTTCACCGAGGTTAATAGAGACTGATGTACGAGGCCCCTGAGTGACATCCCAAAGGAGACGGCCCCTTAATCCTTATTAGGCCTCCGCGTTAGCGATCCTTACCTTTCAAAGCAAACGGCACGCTCTCTTTGCATTGCGGGCCCCAGGCCTGCCCCTGGCGTTTCACTCCTGACCCCGAGGTCGCGCCCTTTGTTCGCCACCCTTCAGAGGCTGACCTTAGAGGTCACGATTGAAACGGAGAAGTTGTCGCGGCGCGTGCTGCCGAGGGGCCCCTCCGCGGACCACCTTGTAGACGGGGCGGGGGCGGCTGCGCTTCCCCGCTGCCGAGCGCAGGAAGCGTGCGGGAGCATATGGAACACTGAAACCTCAGTTTTACATCAAGCCCAGAGATTTATCAAATGTCATCAATTTGTCTTTATTTGTCAGGTACTCTCAAATGTGTACATGGCTTACGCTGACAACACGGCTCCAGACACATGCTAATTTAGTAAGTTTGCTCGCTTTATTTTACAACAATTCAGACTGTTTTAGTGGCTATTTTTTTAAGTTTAAAAATGTGACAGTCTTGCCACCATAGCAAAAGTTGGTTGCTATATTTTGGAATAATTCAGATTCTTGTGAAGAAAAAAAAAATGTGCCAAACGACTTTTATTTAGATTCACTTGCTTGTTGTGGCCGTTTGACGAGAAAGGAGTCCACGGTCAGTTGTGCCGAACGTTGGCAAAGGTATGCTGTCCATTAATGCGTCACATAAGAAGCAATGTATCGACAGCTTGGAAACTTTGACCTGAGGTATAAGCTTCCAAGCTGCAAATAATTTGCAGAGGTAGCTCTACAACTCATTAGTGAAGAGAGAGCTTCTCTGCTGGAGGGGTATACAGTGTTACTCTGATAAATGCCATTTGACGGGTGAACATATAAAACATGTTTTGGAGAGAGGGATTTTTTTTTTTTCCCCAAAAGAAAAACTTTATGTTGGGGACTGGATTGCTGAAAAAAGCTGGTATCACAAGAAATAAAGCAAATCGTAGCCGGTGGGCAAAAATTGATTTCGATCATTAGCTTTTTTTTTTATGTAAGTGGGAAAAAAAAAGAGGAGAATTGGTCAAACAAGATGACTTTTTGGCCATATCGCCCAGGTCTAGTTTGACACTTTTGCCATCACAACTATATCTTGAAAATACGCCACAACTTGTAACCGAATCGCTGAGTTATTAGCTTTTAGCTCGCCCTCGAGGAGTGAAATTTAACAAAAGATTTTTTTTTTCAGTGTCTCATGTTAAATTTGCCTCCTGAATGACATTTGTTAGCCATACTCTGCAGATGTGATCTGCTGTTCATACGTTTTTGTTGGTGTCGACAGTGCACATGGGATGATTTGTGAAACCAAAAATGCAATTGTTTGAGCACGTTGAGACGCATGTTTGCCATCGCGGTGCAGCGGCCGGCTCCTGGAGCTGTCACAAAGCAAACCTATTACTATGGGATGCGTCATCACTGGTCGCGTTGCGCAGGCTGCTCCCGTGAAGGGGGTCGGGGGGCGTGTACGGCCTGCCGTGCAGAGGGCTACAGTGTCAAAAGTTGCATCCGAGCCAAAGCCAGAGCCTTATCCTTGGGTGAACCCTCCGCACCGTACAACACAGGAACAGGCTCCGCCAAGTTTTTTGAATTCCTGCCACATGTTAGGCGGTAAACAACTGACAGGAACACCGTCTTGATCTGTGAGGGGGGGCGGGAGGGGGCTGAAAGTCTCGGGAAAAATGCTGATAACTGCGTTTTGGTACGCTATTGTTGATTTCGGCATGCGCCCGCGGTGGCATTTGTAGCCAGTTGCTATTGGTTCAACGGACGTGGCGAGATATGACGTCAGCGGGTTTCAAACTAGTGACCGTTGGTGTTTTTCTCATCATGAGTGAACATGTGTCTCCACAAAGAAGCTTTGCTTGCCTCCCGACTCGCCGGATTTTCTGTCACCCGTGTTTACAGCTTTGTGTGTGTGTGTGTGTGTGTGTGTGTGTGTGTGTGTGTGTGTGTGTGTGTGTGTGTGTGTGTGTGTGTGTGTGTGTGTGTGTGAGAGAGAGAGAGAGAGACAAGATAGCACCGCACTCAGCAGAATACAAGAAGGGGCCTGAGTTCATTTGTGATTGTGGAAAGCTGAGAAGAGTTGCACTCGCTACCTTGTGTGTGTGCGTGCGCATGCATTGCTGCACCTTTCGTTCTTTTTTTTTTTTTTTTAGAAAGCAGAGACTGCGACTTTGAAGAAGTGTGCTCTGCTTTCCCCACATTTGATGAGTTACTGTAAGCATGAAAATCCTTAGCACCCAACTATAGCAGTTGCTACATGATGCGTCGTGTTTTCTGGACAGGTTTTCCTTCCCCTCCCACCACTCGACTGTCTTTTGTGCAACATAGAGGAGAGGAAAATTTTGTCGGTGCTGAGTCGTGGGCTCGTTTTGGGAAGGAGACTGAGGGGGAGGGGAACGGCGTTTGAAAGAGGAAGTTTTATTTTTTTTCTTTTCTTTTTTTTAAATCCAGTATTTGAATCTGATGCAAAGTGCTAAAGGGCAGGGCAGCATTTTGGCCGTGGAAAGAAGTTTGGAGATGGAAGTTGGGTTGAAAGTAGCCATGGCGCAGATGACCTTAGCCGGACGGACGGATGCAGCGGCGCTAAAGGGTGACAGACGACGATAGCAGGGGTGTTATTTGGCACAAAACACATGACAAAGACCCTCGGCTCGACACACATGGCCTGAATTTAATGCTTCGCCAGGATGTTTATTACCGGTGCTTGTGGGAGGACGAGAAAGGATGAGAGACCGAATAGGCTAGTCAGCGCTTATAGGGGAGGCGCGAGGGGAAAGGACATAACCAGAGAGTCCATTTTGTCGTCCCAACACTTCTTCCCTCGTTTGCGCGCGGGATGTCCCCCGTAATTGTGGGCATGCGGCGCCATATCGGACCCCATTTTATGTTATTCATGGCCAGGTGCTCGTTTGGCTCTGACTGAGCCGTAAAACGTAGTGTCATTAACATATTTGTGGCGGGGGGGCGAATGACCTTGAATCAAGACAGCGATCGTGATTGGTTGGCACCACCCAATGGGTAGTCCGGTGTTGCTAGCCTCCTACATGCTCTCGAAGGGCTCGAACGTACATGCTTGGAGTTTCTCATTTGCAAAGGATGTTACAAATATGTTTGCTTGATTAGCCCCCCCCCCGTGAACATATTGCACTGAACTGGTGATGAAACACGTAGTGCCTACCCACTCCCACTCGTCCCTGTTTCATCATCAGCTGAGCCCTTTCTCCTCCACTCACAGCCCTAACCCCGACTCCCCCCTCCCTCTATAACCCGCCTGGCTCTTGCTTCTTTTTCTCTCCAGCGCCCTCCTCCTCTTCTCTGCCTGGGTCCCAGCCACATGCGAGAGGGTAGACTAGGACGCAGCAGCTCTGAGAGAGCGAGAGAGGCGGGGGAACAAAAAAAAAAAAAAAAATGCTCTGCTGCTATTTCTACAGGCGGGCCCTCCCCTCGGTGCCAAAAGAGGGAGGGATTTTTTACTACTCGCGGTCCCAGGATTTTAACCCCGTGCTTGCTCCGGCGCCTCGCTACCAAGCAACAAGTGGCTTCCTTTCCTCCGATAATTCGGCACAGAAGACATTTTTGGAATCTTGGTATTTTTCACCCACTCAAACTCTGATAGCTGATTTTGTCGTTTACTCCTTGCTTTTTTTTTTTTTTAAGGGGGGGGCGCTTGTGCTCGAGAAGCTTCTCACTATGGATTTTTGTCAAATATTTTCCCCTGCTCTTATCTGCCCTCCACCTCTCCCATCTCTTGACCTCTCCCTCTTTTTGGGTGTTCTGCCCCACCCTCTCTCCCATTCCCCTCTCTCTCTCTCTCGCTCTCTCCGTGTGTGTCTGCATGTCTCACTCTATCTTTTGCTCTCTCTTTCTCCTCCTCTGTCTCGCTCGTGGGCAGTCTCCAGTGAAAGCAGAGCAGGAGGGCGGAGCGGCCGACCAGGCATTTTTTTTTTTTCTGGGACAGGTGCCAATTCTAAACAAAAGGCACCGAAAGCCATAAAGGAGCGAGATGATTCCAAGGGTGTGGAAAAAGTCGCATGTCTCAGGAACTGATTGGCGTGTGTGTCCGCGGGTCGCCTGTTGTCCTCGTGCATGACTATGTTTTAGTCGATTTGAACAAGTTGCCGCCGAGCTCCTGAGTCGCCTTTCCTCGTTGTGCTCCCGTGAAGGCATTTGAGTTTGGAGTGTCGGGCAGGAGCTGCGCGAGGGAGGAGCTTCACCTCCTCTGCTCCCTTTGCATTATTCATTCGCCCGGGCCGGTGCTGCAATCTGACTGGTTGCCCGGCTTAGCATTCAGCCGACGTGCAGCGGCTCTGTTTGCTAACATTCCTCATTCAAAGCCTCGTTAACTGCCAGACGGGAGGAACACGCGACTCCATGGGAAACCACATGGCCTCCCCCATTGTGGCGGGCCCTGACAGTCTTGGACTCGAAGGTGGCAGACAGGGGAGAGAGCGAGGGAAGCCCCCCTTGTAAATATTAGACAAGCTTTTAGCCACGTTCCCCCCCTCCATCTCCCAACCCCAATGCTCGGGAGGTCAGAAACCAGACAGAGGGTCCAAGAGATGGGCGCCCACACACCCATGCACACACTCGACTTTTGCGGTCGTCCAGACGGGGCGCTCGCCGGCAGAGCTGTGTGACTGAACCCAAGTTGGTTCTCTGCCTCTCCTCCACAGAGCGGATATGCGGACGCGCTGCAATGTGGTGAGCCAGATGTCCGCCACAGCGAACGGCGGAGAGCCCTCGGAGTCAGACCTCACTGGGTAAGTCGCAGCGTGTGCGTGGGTGTGGAGGCTCCGGTGAGTGTGTGTGCCTGTGTGTGTGTGAGAGCAAATGAAGGTGCACGCACATGTGTGAGGTTTTTGAATGTGCAAAAGTGTGAAATCCACATCAAGAATGTATACGTGGTTTTATCCGCCTTCCGCGTCTGGGTGTCTGCTTACTACTTGACCATTCGGAGGGGTGACCCAGGGGCAACCGTGGCATTGGCTAGACTGGGGCGAAACCGAGCTCATCTCTATTCCGAGGCGTCCCGATTTGCAGTTTAAGCCGCACGCTTGATGCGTCGAAAAGAGCCGAGGTTACAGGGAGCAGAGGAGCACGAGCTGTGCGGTCCTGGGCCCGGCCGGGTCCAGGCAGGGCCTGCCGCACAAGGCCGAGCCCCACCAATACGCTCGCTCCACCTATGGCGCTTTTACACCTCGGCTTTCGCCGTTTGCATTTATCCCAAAGCTATTCACAAATAGATTGAGCTTCCCCTTTAAAAATTGGAATGTATTTGTCGTCGTGATTATGGATGGAAGGCTGAATATTAAAAAAAACGGGTCATCAGTGACACGTGGCCACGCATAGCTTTATAATGCTTTTCCAGGCCTGAGTGGCAAATAGTTTTTGATTTTCCTTTAAAACACGCACACACTAATCTCTATCTTTTGCAATAAGTTCCATTATTTTGTTTTGCTTTAGCGAATTTCACTATTTGTGGAAGGCAGTCCACTTGAAAAAAAAAAATGGGTGCGCCGTTTAACCGGAAGGTTTGTCCACATTTTAGAAATGTTAATGTTGCAATATTAGCATTAGCTTCGCAACCACTCCACCCCCAAAAGGTGAATATCAGTTTTTTTCTTTCTTTCTTTCTCTGTTTCTTTCTTTGTTTTTTAATCACAGCCAGTAACTCTCTTTACCCCATGCATTTATGTTTAAAATGAGCCAGTAGATGTCGGTTGTGTGGCATTCCTCTCGAGTAGATGGAGAATGGGCAGTGATGACAAGATAGGAGTGGAGGCAGCGTGAGTCACCGGTGATTCGTCGAGCCATCACACCTACTGCCTACTTCTCATCTGCCACTCGTTGGTTACACTCGAAGCGCCGCCATCTCTGTCTCCCCGACAGGAAACCCCAAAGGTTCAATTTGTGCTTGATATGTCTCAACCCCTCCCCTCAGAAAATGCTGAACACACGAGGCACGCCGCTTACGCTGCTACACACTTTTTTTTTCTTCAATATTTTCCAGTCCACTTTGCTTAGTATCTCTAACAAATATTGTATATTTATTGAAAAAAAAAACTCAAAATCTTGACATACTTTGCATCACCTAACATGATAGCCCTGATGAGCAAAAGGAGATGAGCACGCATTTGCCGATATTTTAATTTTTGAGGAAAATGTAACATATCAGTGTCCTATGAATACCTCCGTATATGGCATGAAAGGCCCTAAAATTCATTTCCTAAAAATTCTGCAAGTCCTAATAAACTAATGGTGACAACAAATGAATTGAAAAGGTGCCGGGAGGACTTTTCGTCAAAAAGAGAACGTGATTTTGGCAAATAGCAAATCACCGTTTGAGTTTTATCAGGGAACTATTTAAAAAAAAATGTCACATCAATATTCATTAAAAGTGAGGGAAAACACACACACATTCACACACACACCCCGAGTGCAAACAGCCAGACACATTTGATGGTGTGCACCCCACAATGAAGCCGCGGCTCCCCCGATGAATGGGGTTCCCACGCCTCTCCCAAGGAGTGCAGGGCACAGCCTCCTCCTCGGAGCATTCACACGCACAATGGGCCCGATACAGATGGCTACTGTCTTAACTTAAACACACACAGGTGCATTGGGCTGACATTTAGAAACACACACACACACACACATTAATTTTGGCCTTGTTGAGCCTGCAAAGTGCAAATTAAAAACTGTCAGATATATTTATTTTTTTTCTTTGTCAGATTCAGAATTGATCTCTCGGTCTCAAGATTTTTTTCATCTTAATGGAGTGAGAAACGTGTGTGTGTGTGTGTGTGTGTGTGTGTGTGTGTGTGTGTGTGTGTGTGTGTGTGTGTGTGTGTGTGTGTGTGCGCGCGCGTCGGCGTTTTTTTTTCTAGTCTCAACAGATCACATTTTAATTATTTGCAGCTGTAGTTTTACATGATGTACAAAAGTACGGCATTTTTCTTCACGTGCTTTAACAGTTGCAATTTTCAGAAGAGTCTCGATTTCGTCCTCTGCATTTGTGTGTGTACATATGATGATATAGAATCACGTCTATACTACTAACAACAGCAGTTTTTAAACTTCAAAATGTAAACTGGTCATATTTAATTTGTAACACCACAGCTGAAATACTTTTATTTTTCTGGCGTCGTGTGGCTGTAATATTTTTTAATTCTTTATTTAAATGCTTCAGTGTATATTTTAGTTGTATTAATTTTTTTCCTTTTTACAATTGTCACTACTGTTCATGACTAGACGTTATTGAGTGTGTGTGTGTGTGTGTGTGTGTGTGTGTGTGTGTGTGTGTGTGTGTGTGTGTGAGAGAGAAGAGAGAGATTGAGAACTTAAATGATCATACGTTATTTTCTCCCATTGTTGCATTTTTCATGTTTCGTTAAATTTCTGCCTTTCTGTGTGGTCCTCATTTGCCAAGTGATTTCTGCATTTATATATAACATATAAATCGATAGATATAATATGTAGATATTGGCAACTATATTCCGAAACAATTCAAAGGAAAAGAAATCATAATATTCAAGCCAAAAGCCACAGGGTGAGTGTGTCCTTATTGAATCCGAAATGGTCCATTAACGTTGTCGTCTCTTTGCCAGTCGTTCACGACATCGTGTTGAATGGAGTTGACAGTGTACTTGAACTGTTTTCACTCGAACTTGGGCTACATGGGCCTCCTTTCAAAGGAGCTGCTTTAGTACCAAATGAACACCTTACTTTGGGTGGGTGTGCGTGTGTGCCAATATGACCACATGGAGCTGACTTGTCGTTCTCTTTCATTTGCAGGCTCGGTGTATTTCCTGGGCAAACCTCAACTTTCAAGGTTAGGATTTTTTTTTTCTCTCACCCCCGCCTTTTCATTTAAAATCCTCTTGAATGAATAATGTGATTAGCTGTGTGCCGCCACGTGGTCGAATCCCTTGTGTCTGGCGCCTGTCCGCTCTCCTCTTCCAGAACCCCGAAGACTGCGGCTTGCCTTCCGAGTCGGGCGAACAGGACTCGTCCCGTCAGAAGCTCCTCGAGCATGTCGACGTGTGTCGAGTTATCTAAATCGGTACGTCCCTGAGATAATCTCCTCCAAGGAAATGAGCGCGGGGGGGAGCAAAGCCGCGGGCCGAACGGGTCAAATGAAGATTAGAGGGGAAACAGTACACGAGGGCACAGCGGCTGGCACCCGGAACTGCACAAAGGCCTCATTGTCACGGGATCCCCCCCCACCCCAGGGCTCGGGCCTCGCATGCTTGGGAGGACACCTGTTGGCGGTGTTGTTCAACTGCAGCCGGGCCCGGTGCATTGCTTCATCTCAAATCGTTTCGGCAATCCCTCGTGACAGCTTAACGCGGCTTTGCACTTTATGGTGCGCCCCTCAGACAGGGGACTGATTTTTCCTCTCCTCTCATTAGTGACATTTATTTTATTGCCGGCGGCGTACATGTGGTTTTAGCCCCACACCTTTATTTTGCGTCCTCCATCCAAACTGAGGCAGACTTTTGATGATAGCTCCTTATAAAATGTCTGAAGTGAGAGTTTTTATGTTATGTGAACTGTGGCCGTGTGTGAACATGTGCTGAGTCAGGGCTTCTGGTGTACTTTACGGGCCTGGACATTAAAGTAGTACTGCGATGGCGTTTATGGGTTAAGGGGAACAGTGGCCCAATGGGGGAAAAAAATGTGGTTAGACTCACTGCTGCCTCACGTCTACCTGAAACATACTTTGGCAGCTATCGCAGCTGAATTTGGGCGAGAGAAGCAACATGCATCCTGGACGGGTTGCTACGCCCTGCTCACCCCACTTTGACTTTTATATATGATTATCTTATGTCTAATAAGACAGACAAGCACAGGACAATCTGCACCGCAAAGTAACAAGACCAGTATATCGCCGCTTTGTTTGGGAAGTGCAGCCAGTATGATGCAGTACGATACAGTATCTCCCTTTCCTCTCGGTGGAGTGTCCGGCGAGAGCCTGAAGCTTTGCCAATTGTCACATGATCCTCGGGTGTAAGGTGAGAGCCAAGTGAAAGTGTGACACTCCCTTCCTCCCTTGTGTCCTTCAGGCCGAGCGAAGCAGCGCGACGGGCACGCGTGCGGCACGAGTACCAAGACGAGCGCACGGTGACGGTGTAAGTCATCAAAATGTTCCTTTTTTCCCCGATGTTCCTTCAGGTGTGCAGGCAGCGGTGTCCGCGTGAGAGTTTTTAACGGTCCTTTGGGGTGAGGTAGTAGGTTGTATAGTTTTAGGGACCTTCCCAAACTGTCAGATGACTATACAACTTACTGTCTTTCCTGAAGAGACTGTAAAGGCAGCGGCTTCACCAAGTTGTTCCAGTATTTTTATATGAATGCCATTTTTCCCCGGCTCTGGGTAATCACTGAAATTAATGTCAACTGACTAATGCTTCATACCTGCACTCAGCCACACGGGTGACACATGATGTTCGCACAGGGTGAGGTAGTAGGTTGTGTGGTTTCAGGGTTGTGATTTTACCCCATCAGGAGCTAACTATACAACCTACTGCCTTCCCTGGAGGGCAGCAAATCGTCCAAGGAGTCACACGTCACCCTGCTCCAAACGCGTCAAAAGGCCGCTGGTTGATGTTGGAGGGCGCACCCGTGGTGAGTTTTACTCCATATTATCGGTGTTTGCACTCGTATTTGCGTCAAATGTATCAGAGTTGCATTGCTTTAATTCAAAGACAAATAAAATTGGAAACAAAATATGGTTGGTTTCTTTTATTGCCTGAATGTGCTCGTCCGATCCACAAGTGCAATTAAAATTCTCTCAAGACTAACAAAGAAATTGGGAAGTCCAGAGGGTACCCCGCCGCTACCCCAAATTGTCAGTTGGTGAGAGGCGCCAGCTCGAGTGCTTTCGAAGCTGGATGGATAGTTAAAATTATCTCACTAACAAATGCCTCCTGACGAGCGCGCTTGAAACGAATCCACAATAACAACCCTTTCTCCACTCTCTTCTCTGATCACCAGCTTGACCCGCACCCACATACAGCAGAGGGCGCAACAGACAAAATATGCATTCAGTTCCTTTTCAAGAGCCGTGTTTCTCATGATTCACCCGAACAGAAAGAACATTCCCACCGTCAATGAATTAAGATTTAAATATTCGCTTTTTTTATCTTGTCTGTATTTAAAACGCGCGTACTGACGGTGTGCTGTGTAAAATGACTACAGTAATTTTTTTTTTTTTACAACCCGGAAGTGTTCGCCAACCCTTCGCTGCGATTGGTCCAAAGTATAGGTGTGTCAGGAGGTGTGCTCGGTCGTTCGCTCTCTGCCGACGTCATTTCCTCCGAGGGGGCGAAGGGCGTGTTGACAGAACCAGGGCCGCGGTCCGGACGCTCGGGCAGCGGCTTCGCTCATCGCACCGTCTACCGACTTCACCCGCACCGCAAGTCAAACGAGCGCCCCCGGGATTCGTCATCTGGAAATGCTCGGGAGCGAACTCTCGGCGGTAATGCAAACCATTCGTTTACTCGTGTTATGCAAGTGTGCCTGCGAGCCGCTAAGAGGATTTCCGCCCTATCTGCTGAAAGTTTTGGAGCACTCAAAAACAGGTCGAGCGGTCCGATGACCTTGTCAAGACACGAGGGTGATATCCAGGCAAGTTTAGTCTTTGAACGTATTTTGGGATTTTGACACTAAACGGATGCCCTTTTAGCAGGGAATCCAAAGACTTGTTCACTGTTGTTGCAAGTGCAAATTAAAAAAGCTACAAAAAATAAGGGCAGCTGCGTCTGGACCACATATGGTGTTTCGATTTTTGTTCCTTCACACTTGATTTGGATTCATGCGATTCTTTGTTGACATGGATTCACCAAAGCTCTTTTTTGTTCTCTCCTCCTGTGACCTAAATAGAGAAACCCTCTCCGCCTGGGAAGTCAAAACAATGAGTGCCTGATCAGGTGACACTTAAAAAGCCACATTAGGTGCACCTAATGAGAAAAACATTTCAAAAAAGTTGAGAACTTACTTGTTTTGAGTTTTTCAGTTGGCTAACTTAGTTTTGTGGCAGCACGGGGTATTTTGATCATCACCAGAATAAATGTGGACCATCTGTACTTGTGCCCGCTTCAGATTTTGTCCAAAGAGAGGAGCTCTGCCTTCGTCAAAAACAATCCCAATATTTAAAATGTTATGGAAACTTTCCTCATTAAGTGACATTAAGATTCTGTATGTCAAAAGTGCTGGTGCATTTTTATTACTATTTTGGTTGCATTTGAACACTTAATGACACATAGATGTTGATACCAATTTATTTTAGGGTGTTCATCATGCTGCAGACCACTCGTGATTGCGAAACCTCCAGATGTGATCCCACTTAAATGTCACTGACTTGCACTCACCTGGCTTTGTTTGTTTGTGCGTGTGTGGAGTTTTCACAGCATTCTGCTAGTTACACGGCTCACTGTCAGGACATGTCCTGCAAACATGCTGGAACACACTCACTCCTCCTGAACAAGAACGAGTGAGAGTTCCATATTTGTGGATTGTTTTGTAATGGTTGATGCAGGTACCGTAAATGTTAGAACATGACGTTTGATGAGTTTTGGCGAAACTGAACATGCAGTTCACCAAGAAAAACAACGCTGACTTTAAGGGTACAAACATGTACGAAAACTCAAAACTTTGCACATGCAAAATCATCAGTATTTTATTAGTTTATTGTGAGATTTAAAAATGAACTCGGTAGCACCCCTGACAAACTTTTTTTAGTATATGTAGTAGCCCAAGAACGACACAAAAAGTCTCCTGGAGCCATCTGCCAAACCTAACAGGAACTCCGCCATTTTAAATTTCCTTTCAAATTTGGCATCAGCGTGACAACAGAAACTGCTGTAACTTGACCCAGATAATCCTGTCAAGTCAGAATGTCACACATTAGATGAGAGAGTCTCGGAAAAAAGAGGAACGGAATCAGAAAAGCACATGTAGTGTTGTCTGACATGAGCAGAATAATGTTCTGGTTGATTTTTCCTCTAACAAGAATCAATCACGTTCGATTCTGCTAATTGGTTGTATTATGTGTTGCAACCACAAGTTCCAATCATGTTAACGTGAAACCGACTTGCAATTCCTATCCCTATTGTTGTAATCTTGAATCTGGGCTTTGCTCTGCACTACATTAACGTCAGAACATCTGCCGCAGTCAATTACTGGAAGTCAGAGGGGGGGAGTTTGTGGAATGGCTCAAACAGATGTCCCGGCACGCTCGCTAAACTACGTCGATGTTGCTTTTTGATGGCACTTTAACGGCCGTCTTGTTGGACACAAAACTCATCAGGTTTCACTGCTGTCTTCTCTCCGTAGTCTGGTGAGTGAGGTCGTCAGCCGGCCATGGCAGGGGATCTCTACTGCCCCCCATCCCCACTGGGGGACTCCCTCTTGGACAGCCCGCTGTGCGCTGACCTCATGGAGGATCTTCACGACATCTCCCAGTCCATCGGGGATGAGACTCTGGGCTTTGATTTCCCAGAGTACCAGCGTCCCGGTTCGGCGTCAGAGAGCTCCATCGCACTGGGTGAGTTGGCAGGTGAAGGCAGGTCATCTTCTGAGCATATTTTCTTTATTATGATTATTATCCTCGTTTTTTGTATAAACTTGAATTAGAGACTGTGTCAGTTTTATGTTAAAGTGCTAAATAGTGTCGAAATCCTCCCAAATGCACACTCAAATGTTTCGTCCTGTGTTGTCCGGTCAGACACGTTAACCCCGGCTTCCAGTCCGTCGCCGGGTGGCATCGGTGAGGCGCCGCATCCCGACGAGGTCTTGGGCCCCCTCACCTTGGAGTGCCGGGTGTGTTCGGACAAAGCGTCGGGGTTCCACTACGGCGTGCACGCCTGCGAGGGCTGCAAGGTGAAGCTTCAAAGAATTTGGTACAGCATTTGGTGCTCACCTGCCCCCATACGCCAACATATTTAGTGCTGGCTATGCAGAGGCGCTTGACCTCGAGGCCAGTGGAAAGTTTCATAGACAGCAAAGCCAGCTTGTGAGGTCGAGGACGCGACGGCCTTGGTTGACTCGTCACCTCTCCCCTGCTTGGCTTCCAGCCAGCATCAGTGACGTTTGCGCACGCGTGGATTTGTGCGACCACTCATGGGGAAGTGGCCGGATGTCATCGGGACCAAACGGGGCGCCTGATATTGTTGGCTTTTGTCGCTGCGGCGGTCACAAAAAGTGAGATGTATACAAGAGGTGTGAGTCATCAACGCACGCGACCCCACTTGACACTTGAGCCGCAGTACTCGCTGTTTTTTTTTTTTTTTAAATCAAAGGGCACTTACAACCTTTTGATTGTTCAGCGTCCAAGTTACGTCGATATTTGACTGCTGCCCTGTTCATTGCCCCATCATGGAAAACTCCGCCGTGTGTGTGTGGCAGTCAGAAATACGCCTGGCTTTTTTTGGGGGGGGCGGCGTATTATGTAGAGGTGTTTTATGTTGTTTTGAAATGGCTAAAAATGACAGATTTTTAAAAAATACACCTCACTATTCATTCCAAGTGGTAGTCGTTAGGCCCCAACTGATGAATTGATTGGTGAAACAATCAAACAGAAAATGTGCCGAGTGACAGTCACTCATATACGTCAACTTCACCGGTCTGGGGAACGCCGCTCCATTCGCTGTCCGCCAGGATTTTTACCCCAAAATGGTCCCACATCAAACTTCTCTTTTTACGCGGCCCCTTTAGGCAGCAAGCCAGTTAGGCTCAAATGACATGTGGCCGGATCAGTTGGCCTGAGGCTCAGAGCTAAATGCCTTGAATGCACAAGCCATCTGCAACAAAGTAAAACAGCTTCTTTTCGACTGATTGCACAGTAATCTGGGCGAGCCTAATGACCGTCACTCCGGCATTTACGAAATGCAGATGTACGCCAATGTCACTGGACAAGGCAACTTGGCTCCATTAACTTTCTACCAGTATGCTTTCCTGTTTTTTTTTTTGTTTGTTTGTTTTGTTTCCTTCAAAATGATGCCCCCATTGCGGCCATTTCCGGCAGAAAATCACTAGGGCCGAAATTAGATGTGCTCCAAGACTCAGGTCTTAATCCCTTCACATTCTGATCCACAAGCCGACTCGAACAAAACTAAAGTTGCTCCATTCTACTGATTTTCAGAGAAAACGAGCAAGCCGAGTGACAGTCGTTCATGTTCACGAACTTCACCAGTTTGGGGAACCTCACATTTGTAATGTATAGTAAATAAAGCAAAGTGGGATCGAGTCATTCAGAGATGTTGAGCAATGTGATTTATTCGTGTGTTTATCTCCTCACGTCGTAAATCACATCGCCTCTGGTAACGTTTGTGGCGCACATGCAAAGACAAGCTTGCTGGAATTTGTTTTCCCCCCTGTTGGGAGGCTCAATTCAAGGCAACGCTGTTTATTCAGTCAAACCCACGGAATGACTTCATTCATCTCCCCTCAAGTGTTCTGCTCACGCTAGCGTGTGATTTAATAGCCCAGAATCTGTGACCATCTTGTCAGAAAGGAATATGGAATGCGCATATTATTGGGTACATGTTGTGTGACATCTGCTCCCGTTTACGTTGAGGGATTTCAAATGTTGTCGTTCGACTCTGGGGCTCTTTAAGAATACATGTGGTACGATTCCACTGGCCCCTTTTTGCTTCCGTAGGGCGGTGAGGTAACGCCGACACCAGTACCTGAAAGCACCGATGGTGTCGGATGATGTGAAACGCAGACAGTGCGCGGGGGGGCCTTGAAAGAAAACAACTTTCTGAGTGTGTATTTTATTCCTCCGCCAGGGTTTCTTCAGGAGAACAATCCGGCTCAAGTTGGAGTATGACAAGTGCGCTTGTGAGGTCGAGGACGCGACGGCCTTGGTTGACTCGTCACCTCTCCCCTGCTTGGCTTCCAGCCAGCATCAGTGACGTTTGCGCACGCGTGGATTTGTGCGACCACTCATGGGGAAGTGGCCGGATGTCATCGGGACCAAACGGGGCGCCTGATATTGTTGGCTTTTGTCGCTGCGGCGGTCACAAAAAGTGAGATGTATACAAGAGGTGTGAGTCATCAACGCACGCGACCCCACTTGACACTTGAGCCGCAGTACTCGCTGTTTTTTTTTTTTTTTAAATCAAAGGGCACTTACAACCTTTTGATTGTTCAGCGTCCAAGTTACGTCGATATTTGACTGCTGCCCTGTTCATTGCCCCATCATGGAAAACTCCGCCGTGTGTGTGTGGCAGTCAGAAATACGCCTGGCTTTTTTTGGGGGGGGCGGCGTATTATGTAGAGGTGTTTTATGTTGTTTTGAAATGGCTAAAAATGACAGATTTTTAAAAAATACACCTCACTATTCATTCCAAGTGGTAGTCGTTAGGCCCCAACTGATGAATTGATTGGTGAAACAATCAAACAGAAAATGTGCCGAGTGACAGTCACTCATATACGTCAACTTCACCGGTCTGGGGAACGCCGCTCCATTCGCTGTCCGCCAGGATTTTTACCCCAAAATGGTCCCACATCAAACTTCTCTTTTTACGCGGCCCCTTTAGGCAGCAAGCCAGTTAGGCTCAAATGACATGTGGCCGGATCAGTTGGCCTGAGGCTCAGAGCTAAATGCCTTGAATGCACAAGCCATCTGCAACAAAGTAAAACAGCTTCTTTTCGACTGATTGCACAGTAATCTGGGCGAGCCTAATGACCGTCACTCCGGCATTTACGAAATGCAGATGTACGCCAATGTCACTGGACAAGGCAACTTGGCTCCATTAACTTTCTACCAGTATGCTTTCCTGTTTTTTTTTTTGTTTGTTTGTTTTGTTTCCTTCAAAATGATGCCCCCATTGCGGCCATTTCCGGCAGAAAATCACTAGGGCCGAAATTAGATGTGCTCCAAGACTCAGGTCTTAATCCCTTCACATTCTGATCCACAAGCCGACTCGAACAAAACTAAAGTTGCTCCATTCTACTGATTTTCAGAGAAAACGAGCAAGCCGAGTGACAGTCGTTCATGTTCACGAACTTCACCAGTTTGGGGAACCTCACATTTGTAATGTATAGTAAATAAAGCAAAGTGGGATCGAGTCATTCAGAGATGTTGAGCAATGTGATTTATTCGTGTGTTTATCTCCTCACGTCGTAAATCACATCGCCTCTGGTAACGTTTGTGGCGCACATGCAAAGACAAGCTTGCTGGAATTTGTTTTCCCCCCTGTTGGGAGGCTCAATTCAAGGCAACGCTGTTTATTCAGTCAAACCCACGGAATGACTTCATTCATCTCCCCTCAAGTGTTCTGCTCACGCTAGCGTGTGATTTAATAGCCCAGAATCTGTGACCATCTTGTCAGAAAGGAATATGGAATGCGCATATTATTGGGTACATGTTGTGTGACATCTGCTCCCGTTTACGTTGAGGGATTTCAAATGTTGTCGTTCGACTCTGGGGCTCTTTAAGAATACATGTGGTACGATTCCACTGGCCCCTTTTTGCTTCCGTAGGGCGGTGAGGTAACGCCGACACCAGTACCTGAAAGCACCGATGGTGTCGGATGATGTGAAACGCAGACAGTGCGCGGGGGGGCCTTGAAAGAAAACAACTTTCTGAGTGTGTATTTTATTCCTCCGCCAGGGTTTCTTCAGGAGAACAATCCGGCTCAAGTTGGAGTATGACAAGTGCGAACGGCACTGCAAAATCCAGAAGAAGAACCGAAACAAGTGCCAGTACTGCCGCTTCCACAAGTGCCTTTCGGTGGGCATGTCCCACAACGGTAAGGCCAGAAATTGAGCTTTTAGGTTGGACTCTTTTCTAAGGACTTTTGATTCAATCCGGTATGTGCGGTCACATTTTTCCAGTCCCCAGGATCTCAGTCGACAGTAAAAAAAACATAAATATCGTATTGAGTAAACAGTATCTATTTTACTCAAGTAAATCTACTTGAGTAACATAGTTTTTTTGTATTGGGTTACTCCCCCACCATTAAAGTAGAGCGAATGTAGCTCCATGCAAAAACACAGCAGGAGGTGACCCGGGGCAAGAGGCTTTACATTGCCTGCGTTTTTTTTTATTTTTATTTTTTAAATAGCGCAGCGTCCCACTGGAACTTTCCACTGACAAAACACAGAGCCCCCACGTAGCCGGTGCACATCTGGCCGGTCCTCAACAGCCGAGGTCATCGGGTTCGTCCTGACCGCCTCGCGCCGCAGGGCACCGCGCTATCAGAAACCCGAGACACAAAAGAGCGCGGCCGTATCAAGTGCAGGCTAATTTATGTAGAGGGAGGCTGAAGGAATGTCTCGGCTCGACAGCCATCCGCTTCGGCCGCATGCCCCAGGCGGAGAAGATGAAGCTGAAGGCGGAGACCAAGATGGCGGAGAAGAAGAAGGAGGCCAGACCCACGCTGGCCGACCACAAGGTTCTGATCGGGCGCATCCACGAAGCCTACATGAAGAACTTCAACATGAACAAAGCAAAAGCGCGGCTCATACTCACCGGGAAGACCAGCGAGCCGGTAAAGCGAGCGACACGGTTTGACTCTGTCCATCTTCAGCTCGCCTGACCTCTTTACTTCTTCTTCAGCCTTTTATTATCCACGACATGGAGACATTCCAGCTCGCCGAGAGGACCCTGGCCACACGCGCGGCGTCCAAGGGGGATGACGCGGAGCCCGAGAGCGGCCTCCCGGCTGGGGTTCTGGTTGCCGCCGTGGGATGCGGCGGGCTCCAGCAGAGGAAGGCCGAAGCGCGTCTCTTCCACTGTTGCCAGAGCACCTCCGTGGAGACGGTCACTGAGCTCACCGAGTTTGCCAAAGCCATTCCCAGCTTCCAGGACCTCGATCTGAATGATCAGGTAGCTTGGGCGTTTTCATTCTCGTTACCTTTGGATTCATTTTGACTTTGGTTTTTCAAATTCAGTTGCTTTGAATTAAGTTTTTACCAGCAGGTTTGAGACGTTGCAGTGGTTTCACTCACTTTCAGGTCCTCAAGTGATGCATTATGGTTTACAGTTGTTGCCCGGCTGCGAGACTGTCTAGGTGTGCAAATGGAATTGCTTCAAAGCAGTGAGTCTGCCCAATAGTTATTGCAGATTTATTTTTAGGTGACTCTCCTCAAGTACGGTGTTTACGAAGCTCTCTTCACGCTCCTGGCCTCGTGCATGAACAAAGACGGCCTCCTGGTGGCGCGCGGCGGCGGCTTCATCACCCGTGAGTTCCTCAAGAGCCTGCAGCGGCCCTTCAGCGACATGATGGAGCCCAAGTTCCAGTTCGCCACGCGCTTCAACTCCCTGGAGCTGGATGACAGCGACCTGGCTCTCTTCGTGGCCGCCATCATCTGCTGCGGAGGTGAGTTAATGTTCCCTGGAGACGATCGTCTCGGTGCTCACTTTTTTTTTTAAATTCCCTCTGGTCTTTGAAGACCGTCCAGGTCTTGTGGATGCGACTCTGGTGGAGCGGCTCCAAGAAGGCATTGTGCAGGCGCTACGGCTCCACCTGCAGGCCAACCACCCAGACGATGCCTTCCTCTTCCCAAGATTGTTGCAGAAATTGGCCGACCTCCGGGAACTGGTCACAGAACACGCTCAGCTGGTGCAGGAAATTGAGACCACGGAGGACACGTCACTTCACCCCCTCCTCCAGGAGATCTACAGGGACATGTACTAAGAGATGGCTCATTTGCCTGCTGTCTCCCTGATCAGTATACTGTAGATTATTATTTTTCGGGAGAAGGGAAGCAGTCAAGATATGGGCCAGAGATAACCAAAAAAAAAAAAAACTAAATGAGTGTAAAACAGTGACAAAATATTGTGGCGGCCAAGGTCTCAAACTCATGTTTAAAACTTATTCTTTACAAAAATGTTATTCCTTTTAATGTGTGATTGTGCCTTCCAAGCAAAAGTGACCACTGTGAAATAAGCTATGAAACCTCAGCGTCAGTAGTTGTAGTTTTGTTGATTTTTGAACCACACTCAAGGTTGAATTAACCCCTGAGTTCCACCCTAAGCAATTATTTAAAGCTCTTGTTCAGTTGCGCTTCTCAGCCCTTGCACAATGTCACTGCCCCGCAGCTTTCACAAATGCAAAGTGAAATAACTTGTTTCAACAAGAGAGACAACAATTGTAAGATTTTGTGCAAATATTGTCGAACTGTTTAAAACTGTATAAAACAATATTATTTTAAAACACTGTCAATTTTATTTGTTTAAGTGTGTTGTGCCTTACGCACAAAAGTGACCGCCGTGAACTCTGATGAAACCCCTGAATCAACATTTTGTGGTGCCGTTCCTTTGAATTTGATATCAGATTAAAGGTTTGGTTCGCACATTCAGTATACATGGAAATGAACTGATTCTGGTCGAAAATAATTTTAAACGATTGCAAAGTTCTAAATTTGTTCACGAATATTAAATACTGTACAATATGAAATTTGTTTTGACAAAACACAATCGGTTGTCGTATTTTGTGAAATGTATGCAAAATGTACTTTAATTATAGTCCATGTGTGCAATAGAACAAAAGGTGGTTGATCTTTAACGCATTAAAATGAGTTGTAGCATTGGGGGGAATGGTTATTGATACGCACTGCCCTTATTTAGCATGCTTTGAGTGTTTTGTGATTAATTACAATACAGGCAAAGCACAAGGGGGCGACTAATAATGTGAGCTCTCATTTTGATTCCCTGTTCCGTTTAAATAACCAATAGGCTGGTGAAACTAGGAATGTATTGTGATTTTTCTCACAACGTGCCATAAAACTTTTCTTCTGCAAAATGTAATGCTTGCCATTTCTCTCCGGTGCTCTAGGAGGCGCTAAAGATTCATCCAAACACATGACTGCAGCCGTAGCAGCAAATGAATTAACGTCCTGTCTGGGCAAAAACAATGGAAGAGACTCTTCGCGAGCACCGTCAAAAGATATTTACGTGCCAGTCGTGTGGTCTAAGCTGTCCTTACACTTCCTACGGACAGAAACCACCAAACACCAGAGCCATTGTGTAAGTGGAAAAATGAAACATAACGATGAGCTAACGGCGTTCAGTGCGGGGCTAGCTATGCTAATGCGATTAGCCACGACGTGCGGAACATTCCACTTTTCCAGCCTGGTGATGTAAATCCATTCACGTGTTGTTGTCCAGGTTGCTGGAGGAGTGCTATGTGACGAAAGACCCCTTCAGTCCAGAGAAAGAGAAGTTCCTCGTTTTGGGTTCCAAGTGCAGCCTTTGTGGCGCTATCATTTGTGTTGGTTCGGTAAGAATTCGGTTAAGTTACATTGAAATGCTCCATTAAGGATTTGAAGTGCATACCGACTGCTGTGTCGGTCAATTCAATTGCGCATGGGTGCCAAGCCTTTCTGACCTAGAAACGCACTCCCAACTTCCCTCTGTGTGTGCGTTTTTACCAGTTGCTCTCTTATGACTTGGTAGTCATGTGGTACAATGCACACTATGTGCTGAGTGAGCGTTTGTGAAATCAATTAAATCTACTTTTGCTCCGCGAAATGCCTCCTCTGCCCTTCCCCACCCATTGGATGTGACCTGCCACATGTCGTGTAAACAACGCACTCAACCACTGATTTCTCATCTGGCAGGACTGCAGCCTGTTCTACACCAAGAGGTTCTGCCTGCGCTGCGTCAACGAAAACCTGCAGCAATTTCCCCACCAGATCCGGACCGAGTTGACCAAGAAGCAGCCGCGATAGGTTTACAGTCCTTTTTTTTTTTTTAATTAAACAGCATGGGACACTTACGCACCTCCGCAATAGAATGACGATGGTGTGTTTTTATTCATACGCTTGAGAGTGATTTCTAATATTTTGTCATTCATCACTAAATATTTCCTTCATTGGATCACTTACTGAATTAGGACTGTTTGTAATACAACTGTTGCTCATTGCTGACTCCTACGGAGTCCCAAAAATTGTTACTTTGTCCTCATTTGTTTGAAAGATAGGGGGGGGGGCATTTTATCTTACATTGTAGCTCTTTAAGATGTTTTACCTTCAAATCTACAAAGGAACAGTTGAAGTCTGGACACAGCACAAAGCCCCGTGGCGATTCTATTGACACATTGGTGGTGGTGGTGGGGGGGGGGTGATGCCTCTAAACGACGCTGAATGGATTTACTGCGATTCAATCAAGTTGTTTATGGGCTGCGCAATTGGATCAGGCAGTGCTGTCTTGTCTGCATGGCTCCAATCAGCTGATGCTCACGATAGTACTATGCGGGGCCCCGCAGCCATCTCGATGCTTTATTTTTATGTTAACTGTAAACAAGTGGCCTTTAAAGTCTTTGCAGAGAATTAGGCGGTTGCTGTTTGAATGAATTATTAACCAGCTGTATGTATGTATGTATGTATATGTGTGTGTATATATAGAGAGAGAGAGAGAGAGAGAGAGAGAGAGAGAGATATAGGGAGAGTTGGCTGGGTGTCAAAGGTCATTTTTAATCTTATTTGGCTCCAAATCACAGAACATCTGCTCTCCTCTGCCCCCTGGTGGCTGTAAACGGCAAAGGTGGAGAGGGAAGCTTTGATAGATTTTGCATTCGTATGATTATAGAGGAGCACAACAAAGCCACCAACGCCAGTGGCCTTGAAGCTCGGTGGCCATGTTGTGACTTTTTTTCTGGGGGGAGGGGGCAGTTTGTCAACGAAGTGGACCGTCGGGGGTTTGAGGATTTCAAGCCGCAAAGCAGGAATGGAAGTCTTGAGGCTGTTTTCGGTGTGTTGACTTCAATCCGGTTTTCACTGCGTGCTGCTTTAAGAGTTTCTCACTCAGTGGGCGGCCCGAAGCGAGCGCGCAGACCAATGAAAGCTCCGCTCTGTTTAAATAGTCCTTCATGTCAACTTGCCTTCTTCACTCTCTGCTCTCGCTAACGCCATGTTGGCTCCGACGACCTGACTTCTGCGGATGTTTGTGTGCGTGTGTGCGCGCGTGTGTTTGTGTGCGTGCGTTTGCAGAACGTGACAGTCGTGCTTTTTAAAACCCCTGCCGTGTCGTTTTTGTGGATTGTTTTCTCCCCCCCCCTCTTTTAATTTTTTTTTTTTTTTTTTTTTTGCGTGGCGCACTGGAGTACGCGCTTTGCATTCTCGCTCTGACTTCGCAAGGAATATTACAAGCCAAGGGATTTGACGTTGTTGTTGTCGTTGTCGTCATATGTGCAACAAAATGTCAGACGTGCGCCTTTCCAACGCCAGTCCGCCGCTGGAGAGGGTCGACGCGCGGCAGCAGGACCGCGTCCGACCCCCGGTGTGCAGGAACCTCTTCGGCACACCTGACCCGGACGAGATCCGGGCCCGTTTGGCGGCCACACTGAAGGATGACGTGCGCTCGTTCGTGGACCGCTACAACTTCGACCCGGTCCAAGATAGACCGCTCCCGCGCGGGGACGTAGAATGGACGGAGGCGCGGGAGGCGCCGGAGTTCTACTCCAGGCCGCCGCACAGGAGGCGGCGGCCGCCGATGGAAGATTCCGGGGAGTCGCCTCGGAGCCAAAACAGAGACTCTTCGATGAAAAGACCGTCGGATGCTGCAGGTGACAACAACAAGCACACGCCCTCTCGAAGCATCTTTGCGGACTTCGCAATTCCTGCTTTTATTTTTTTTTCGTGAGGACGTGCAGCTTGGCGCATATCCCCACCCCCCCTCCCAAGTCCTTCTTTCTCCCCCTTCCTCCTCCTGACGACTCCTTCTCTACCGCCAGGTCTGTCTAGCGAGTGCCCGACGAAGCGGTCGCATTCCAGGGGGGACGACGACGACGAGCCGCCCCCGGACGCTGGAGGTCCGGCGGCGGAGGTCCAGTGAGAGACGCTGGCACCAGGTCAGAGCCCACCACAAGCCCTTCATCCTCATTTATTTATGACCACTACCGTTATTACGATGACTATTACTGTTGTTATCTAAGTGGATATCGCATCGATTTAACAGAGTAGAAAACCTTTTTCATGTGGGTGTTTTGGTTTGTTTTTGTTTTTTTGCAGACAGCATCATCAAGAAGAACCCTCAGCAGACCCCATAGGAAGGCAATAGAGGCTGCACAAGCACTGAAATATGTACACTATCAAGTTTTGGCACTCTTATTAATATTATTTTGTATTGTTAAATCGCCTCAGAAGCAGCAGACAATGTAGCAAGAAGTGTGCAAATTGATTATCCCTCCTGACCCTCCCTCCATTTTGTTTTCTTACTACCTATGTTTGTTTTTTTTTTAAATTTTATGTATGTAGCACATAAAAAGCATTCTGCTTTTCATGCCTGTGTTTTCAAATATGCGTGAATTTTGACACGGGCGGAGTTGCAGTGCAATTTCCACCCTGCAAAGATGTTTTTCGTTCAAGTGGTCATTAATATGTCGTTCTTATTCAGGTATTCCACTTTTTTGGGGGGGAGGGGTAACTGCAGATTTCAATGAATCAGGGTTGGATGGAAACTTATGTCTTCTGTTTTTTTTTTATTATGGCTTTATGTGTCCCAGTGTTTTAGCTTGGTAGGCCGGCATGGTTCCATCGTTACTGGGAATAGCCACAAAAAATAACGTTTACATGGTCTCCTGATGTGCCCGCTTTTATTTAACGATTAAAAAAAAAAAATGGGGTTTGCCAAAGTGTGTGCCTTTTTTGGGCTGAGCAATATTTGACCAAATTTCACAGTATTTGCCGCTAATCCTAAGAATTCAAACAACAATTTGACCGGCTTATACTGCAGCGGTTTTGCTAAACTGTGGTGTCCAGATAAAAAAAATGTGTTTGGGGAAAAAAAAAATCACTGGGCTACTTATGCAAATATGTGAAATTCATGTGGAACATGTAATTGCACTATTGTTAATTCAATTTTTTTGTGTGGTAGGCAGAAAAACAAAAGTTGCACTGCCTCGGCAAAAGTGTAACCTCTGAAGTGTACCTGTGTGCCTTTTTGTTTGGAAAAACACTGAAAAATTATACTAACTTATTTATGTTTGTGTGTGTATATGTGCGCGTGGTGGGGTGTTTGTATGGCTTTTCCAAAGCAACGTTTTTGTAAATATGTTTTAATCATTGTTTGTAAAAGACGAATAAACCGTTGCAAACCTGTGCCGAGAACGTTTTAAATGTATTATTTTTCCCTCTAAAGTCAACTTAGGATGCCAGGTTCTTTCACAGGCAACTAACTATGAGCAGTCTAACCACTAATCAAAGCTTACTGATATGCACCGGGTGCTTTATTTGCATAAAAGTGTAACCTCACATGCACTTGGCAACAACTGCACGATAGATAGTAAGTGAGCTCAAATGGCCCTCGGAAGAAAAAAAAACCCCTGCACAGTTCTCAAGTGGGGCAGAAAAGCTGCAGTGAAGGCATGTGAGCTGCAAGAGGAGGGAAAGAGAAGTGGCGTGCCGAGCAGCCAATACGAACGCAGAGCAGAAAAGCAGACCACTTAAGTGGCAGCCAATCAGGAACCGGGGGCGGGAGTTCGAGAAGGTACAGGCTGTTCTTTTCATAAAACACACGCACACACATTCGAGTACACTGCAATTAGTTTCATTGGCTGCCTCTTTCCTGTTGATATCAGTGTGTAGGAGGCACGCACACACACAGACACACGCGCACAAGTACACGCACTCAAAATGTGCGTGTACGCGTGTACGTGTGTACGTGTGAGCTTTTCCTGTAATACCTCACTTCGCCTGCAGGCGCGCAAGTGTGTGCTGAGCTCATCGCCTTGCAGTATTTTTATTTATTTTTTTTTTACCTTTGACAGCACACCAGCACGTTACCACCGCCTGTGTACAAATCTGCGATGTCAAAAGGGTAACAAAGTGGTTTTAACCATTTGTTGATGTACAATGTTTACGTTTTTGTCACGTCTGTTTTTGTCATTAGATTCACCTGGTGCAGGTAAGCCCCGCCCCAATCAGCTTCCTGCCTGCACCCCCCGTCCCCAACTGAAAGCTCAGGTATGTCCATTTATTCTTTATTTTGTTCTTCTTCTTCCTATTATTATTATTATCATCATATTCTTCAAAAGTGTGTTGATTGTAGCCATTTTAAAAAATGTGAAATGAGGTTTTTGTTCAGATATCAAATTTGTGAGTTGAAGTAGCAAGCAAGCATTATTGTTATTTTCTGGCCATGTCAGAAAAAGCTTTTTCATTGCCTGAGTTAATGAACGGTAATTGTTCCTCCAGATAACGAATGAGGGCCATAAACGCTGAAGGCTATGAATAGATATTCACCAGAAGGCCTATAAAAGAATGAGCTCACTTCTTGGCTGTCATTGCCAAAGAGGAAGGCAGAGTGCCGATATTCCTTTAGAATTTGTTTTCATGCGGAAATACAACTTCCCCATGCAAGCTGGTATTAATTCAGCCCTTCTTCTGCGTCATTTTTGTCTCGTGGTCACACCATTGTGATGGCCGAGCTCTTTTAATTTTAGTCGGCGTGGAGCTAAAAATGGGATCGTTTGGCCAGATCTTTTTGTGGTGTGGGATGTAAACAAACAAATCTGCCAATGTGAGCTCTTGTCTGGCCGACGTGACCTTTCCAAAAAACGGAAGAAAAAAAAGAAAACGGGCTCATTAAATGTGAAAACCATCCTCTCCCGGTTGTAGTTTATGTTTTTCATTAGGCCTTCGAGAGCGCAACATTGGAGAGGAGACACCGATCAAGCGCAGCTCACGCTAATAACCTCAGGCCACGACTTTTCCCCAAACGCATGTTTGCACTCGTCGCCTGGATACGCGTGGCAGTGTGTCACCTCAACAACATATTAACCATCTTACAAAAAAAAAAAAAAAAAGTTTTTGGAATGGGCTGATCTTTTGGACCCCACTCGGTGAAGGAAAGGAGAAGAAGCGGCAAGGAAAACTCGGTCCATCTGAGCGACAACGGAACTCCGAAGAGGAGCCAGCAGATCGTCACTCCCTACGGCCGATCTCTGGGACGCACCCTTCCGCCCAAGGTCGTTATTTATTAATCAATACAACGTTTCACATCTGCTTGAAAAGGAAATTGTCCCATAACATGATGACTTTTAGATCCTATTTGTTGTTAACCGAGCCACAGAGGAGGGGGGGGGGGGGGGACACGCACCTCTGG